ATTTGTTTTGTGATGCTGTGATCTCTCCTGTCCTGTTTCTATTGGTGTAGACAGAAAACCCATTATTCCTGAAACCAAATTCTTTTGCAACCTGAAAGAGAAAGGATGACAAAGTTTAAGATACCTCACGCCCCAGGTCAGATGCTGAAAGCTGCTCACAGCAAGTGCTAAGTCCAGGGAACTTCTATTGCAAAAGCTTAGCTGAATTCATCCTCATTTCTGAAGAGCACAGGATAACTGAGAGAAACAGAAGCACTGAGTAACACAAGCAATTTAGTAAAAAAGCAACTTAAGCAGAACGTGCCTCACTCGTGTAACACAAACAGTGTAACATCTCCACCCAGGCAGGCACTGTAATGACTACAGGGGGAGAAACGATCCTCTCCAGCCCCCCAGCACACACCAACCACGTCGTTCTCATCTTGCTGTCACCAGAGTGAGTTCCTTGGTCCAGATCTTTGTCTCTGTGGCTTTTCTGCCCTCAGTTCATGCCTACCTGTTATTACATACATTTCAGAGAAGCTCTTCCTGCTGTCCTCCTGCCTGTTTCTCCCCCCGCCTCCCGTTGCCTATTTTCTCCTGACAGAAGTTACCCTCACATAAACCATTGCTCAGTCTCAGCCCCCAGGAAGGCTTTTTTCCACCTCATCCTGTCAGCAGCACAGCTGAAGCTGCTTTCCTCTTTATCAAATATCATTTACAGCCTCTTCAACTTTCAAATTCTGCTATATTAAAACTTAACCAGTTTAGAAATGGAGTTGAAAGTTTCTCTAGATGACAAGCTTCTTCCTAAATCCTCAAGTTAAACGCCAACCTCGCAGCTCGGGTAGAGCTCAGAGACACCAACTGCACACAGTACAACTCTACCAAGCCACCCCGTGCTAGGAAAGAAACTCAAGCACCTCCTTCACTCAGCTCTGCAGGAGGACACAGTTCTCCCCAGATCAACAGGCAACTGTAGTGAGGGCCAATGCTTTTGTTCCGAGGTTAGCTGCTGGCAAGCACAATTGTTCTGAACTCTCTTTGGTAATACAAACCCTTGAAACTGAGCAGCTTGCTTTGCACAGGTTCCAGGAGCTCTGAAAGCAATGCTTTTTCCGTGGGTGAGACCCTTCAGAGGCTGCAGTGGGTATCTCTGACCCAGCCCTGAAACCCATCCGGATTTTGGCTCGGTCAGGAGGGGATTGCTGTTGTGGTCTGGGCCCAAGCTTCAAACAAAGCATGGACTCACAAACAGCTGAACGTTTCAGCCTGCTCCCCTTCTCCCTTGCAGGGAGAAAGGAAATCCAGCTGACCAAAAGAATAGCCCTTTAAGGAACACAAAGCACTTCTCTTGTGAAGAAAAGAAATCCTAATCCAGGAGGTAAGGAAATGGAGAACTGCTCCCTCTTAAACAGCAAACACCAAGCAGCTGCACCAGACCAAAGAACAAACTGCAGTCAGCTCCACATCTGAGAGCTCCAAAACTCAGTGTGTTCCTCGAACCCCAGGGTGGAAATCTTTCCCATGAGACCCCCAGAGACTCTCACATTGCTTTATGATCTTGCCTCAATCATTTGCTTGCTCTCTCCATAACTACAAAGGAAGACCAGTGGCATGCAAAACTCATCCAAACGACATTCAAATCACAGATCATGCAGCTGAATTTTAACTGGATCACGTTTGAAGAGGCCAATCTGCCAAACAGCTGGAGTGCCTGTGTCGTCAGCCTTTGCTTCCACAGCTGGCATTTCCCTGGGAGCACACTAAACACACAACCTCTCCCAAGAAAGCTCCCATCCCAAAAAATTCCAATGGAAAAGCTGAATAAGTTCTCTTCTCTAAATAGATTCTTTATTCCTTTGGAACTGATCCCCACAGCATGTTTTCCCAGTTCGGTTAAGCAACGCCACCCATTACAGAACAGCACAGCCAGCCCTGCAAGGGAGGAGAGCTGGAGTACCTTCTTGAGGAACGTGGCCACCGTCTCTCTCTTGGTGGCTGTGATGCGTTTCACCCCTTCTGGCGACTGCACACGGATTATCTGGGGGAGAAGGGAGAAGACGGCCTGAGTTACAAGGGGAGCACGGAGCCATCCCTGCACAATGGAGCTCTGCACACACAACACGTCCCCCCCCAGTCTCTGCTTTTAATGCAAGAGTGCAGACGCACACGGGAGCGATGTGGGGGCACGTGAGCAACATTTGCTGGATGAACTGCCCTCGTGTTGGAGACCCTGCAAAAAGCTGGCGTGGAAAAAAACAAAAACGCTGACGCTGCTTTTTTGTCCCAGCTCTGACCTCACACGTGGAATTCAGCTTCCAGAACGGGGCTGAATCAGAGCTTCTGTGGGAGAGCCTGCACACAAACACGGCTCTAAGCAGCGCTAATGGGCACCTGCACAGCATTGGGACCCGCATCCCTGCTCCGAGGGACCGAGAGTCCCAGCGGTGAAACACCGCCAGTTCTGCTGCAGCCTTTAGTCGGAGGAAGAAGAAAACCAGCAGCAAAACGAGAGCTCGGGAAGGAGCAAAAATGCACTGGGTGCCCCCGCCTTCCTGAGGACCGGGCAAACGAGCAGCGACGTGCAGAGAAGCGCTACAGAGCCACGACGGGATGCTGACAGGAGGAAAAGGCAGACCGGGGCGACACGGGAAGCTGCCAGCATCCCCGGCGGGTCGCCTTTACCCTCTGCACGCCGCGCACAGGGGCAGGAAGCGGAACGCAGCACCGCACGGCGCTTTGGACGCCCGCCCTCCGCTCCTGTCCCTGCGGGCGGCCCGGCCCGGGCCCCGCGTTACCCCGACCGACGCAGCCCCACTGCGGCCTACCCCGCCCCACAGGAATCTGCTGCCTCATCGCCCCTCCCCCGCCCCACACCGCCACCTCCGGGCCGCACTCACGATCGTCTCCGCCATTGCGCTGCCCGCACGGCCCCCTCACAGCTACGCCTCGAGGCCTTCGCTCCCCTCGGCTCCCTCCGGCCCGGCGCCGCCCCACGGGGCCCGGCCCGCCGCTGCCCGAGTCTCCTCCGCCGCCGTCTCCCGGATCCCGCAGCCCGGCGTTCCGCCGCCAGAGGGTTCCTACGCTGGGCGGGGCGGTACGTCGCTCCCCGGTCCCCCGTAGCGCCTCGGTGCCACACACATAACCGCCCCCCGAGCGGTGCGCCCCTGTCTTTTCGTTCCGCCGACGCGCATCGCCCCCTTGGTGCGGGGTCTCTCGGAGTCTCCGTATCCCCACCGAGGGGCTGTGGGGGTCGGGGCTGTTATTGATAGAATGATGGACCAAAAGTTTAAGGAGTCAACTGTTAAGTTTATTAATTATAATGAGCAATAGAACAAAAAGGCAATGCAGCGCTGGGCGACAGGGGACTCTGCGTTCCACCAACTGTCGCAAGGTTCGAACCAATACCCGATCCTTTTATATAGGTCGTCTTCCGTATTCGTGTCCTTCCGTTCTCCCATTGTGATGTACTCTGCGCATGATCCGGCTTGTTGCTAGGGGGTCTTCTTCTGCCTCCTGGTGGTCGTATGGGTTGAAGTAAGTAGTCTTCCTCCGTATCTTTTCCTTGAACCCTTCTGGTGGTTCCCATTTACGGTATGTTGCTCGTATGAGCGAATCTTAGTGGTGATTACACAATCGCCAACCTTTGACCATATCTGTGCGAGTTCCTTGTTTGCCCAAGCTTCCAGTGAGGCCGGTTCGTACTTTTAACTTATTAACTCTGGACAAACATTCCTGCCTTTTTGACAATTTCCCCCCTTTTCTTTCATCGTTGAATGTTTGTCCTCCAATTTTTATAGTTACAATTCTCTTTTCCTAATCGCAATAGTGGGATAGAGTATCACACTTGCTCTATTCACAATTTCTCTATTTCCCTTAGCAATTTCGTGGTGTCAAATCGCTTCTTTATCAGTTGTAATAGACATTTAATTATACATGGTCCAAATATTAGCCCCAGAATAATCGTGATCAAGGGTCCAGCCAGAGCAGACAGTAAAGTAGTGAGCCATGGCGATACGTTCAACCAACCCTCATGCCAGGATCTTCCTATTTCCCTACCCCTTTTTCGTTGTTCCAATCTCTTACGAAGTTCAGCCATGGAATCCTTAACTATCCCTGTGTGATCAACAAATGAACAACATTCTTCTTGCAGTGCTACGCATAGTCCTCCTTCCTTTAGGAATAGGAGGTCTAATCCTCTTCGATTTTGTAGTCCCACCTGTGATAACGATTTGACCGAAGTTGCCAATTTATCAATTGATTGCTCTATTCTGTCTAGATCTTCATCTACAGCTTGTTGTAAACTTTGTATCTCGTTATTTTTAACGAGTGAGGCTATGCCGGTTCCGGCACCCACACCTCCAGCAATCAGGAGGGTTGCTAAAGTAATTGCTGTTATAGGCTCTCTTTTCTGTCTGATGAGGCTCCCTTCAAGTTGATACATAACTTCTTCATCAGAGTGATACGTTAATCGCGGGATAATTACTACTTGTATACAAAATTCAGATCTATTAAATACCTCTAATGATATACATGGCGTCATTCCGATATCTGAACATACCCACTTTGCACCTGCTGTGGGGATTAGCCATTTAAATCCTGCACTTGTCTTGTCCATTATTCTACTTCCAGATATTGTGCTGTTACAGAGACTTTCATATTGTTCTGGTATGGTTCCAACACACTTTCCTTTCCCTGTGACATGTTGTACAGTTAGCCCCTGGGTGCGATTACTATCCCATGGGCATGCAGCAGGATTTGTTCCACTATTCCATGTGACCTTGCCTGGCTCTCCTACTGCCTCATAATGAGGTGGTCTAACGCTGTAGCACAACCAACACTCGTTAGTTAAGTGTGGCTGCGTTTCATTCAGGGCGGCGTACGCGGCTTGCATAATGCCCCACAGCGGACCACCAAGCGCAGGTGGTGGGGTCTCATACCTTCGACCTGTACTGTTGGTGGTATTCATTGGTACAGAAACAACAGGTGGTGGGGCTCCTTTGGAAGGAGAGGGCGGGCCTATAGGCAGTGGGGAATCATGTGGCATGCTTCTCTTTGCTATTCTAAATATACCACCCCTGTCTGGACCTGGTTCCCAAAATCGAACTCCCCACATTCTTCCAACCAACCAACTATTGTTCGTGGGCTTCTGAACCTTTATATTAATTTCTTTACAGTATCCGCCAGCCTCACAGTGTCCGTAAACGTGCCCATCTCTTCCTATGGTGGGTCGTTTGCACCCAGGAGGGAACCATTCCACCTGTATATCTGGGTCTTTGATAGTTGCAGTCCATTCAGATGCCCATGTTTCACATCCCCAATATCCACAGTAGTAATGATTTGGCAAATTACAATAATTTCTCCCTCTATTTGAAGCGGGGCAAACATAAAATCCCATACAATTATCCGCCCTATCTCTTCGGTGTCCCGTAATTAAATCTCTTAAAGAAACGGTAAAATTCACGTGGGTTTGATTTTTACAGCTTTTCAAGGGTTGGTCTGGTTGTTGTATGTTGAATAATTCCCATATCATGGGCTCGTGTGGATTATTGGCCCGTACCCCCGGGAGTAGAATAGATGCACAGACCAAAATGATTGTCTTTGGGGTCAAGTATCGTCCCTTCACCCGAGGTCCTTCTCTGCCTCGCCTGTCAACTGGGTTGCAGCCAGTGACAGGGGTTTTTATCTTCTCGGCAGCAGAAGACCTACTCGAAGGTGAACCTTTCCCCATCACAGTCTGTTATGTTCACTATTGAATCCCTTGGGGCAATCCAGGCACTTGTCCACAGAGTATCTCAGGAGTTTGATTCCAGGGCCTTTTCAACAATCGGCCAACCCTTACAGCCGTATACCCGTTGTATTCAGGGCAGACTTGGTAGGTTGACTCCACTTAACATTCTATTAAAGTATCTAATCAGTTCGTCTTTCAGAGTCCTAACCATAATTTTCATTCCTTTTTATCCATAGATACAAACCCCTTTTCCACACTTCACAACTTTCCACAAAAAATACAAAATTAGCGACAAGATTAATGCTGTTACAAATCCTATTAATCACTCACTGTACAGCAAAAGGCAGGTGTTCAAACCATGCCTCAACCATTTAGCTTCTCCAGATGGGCTGAGGTTTCTTCACCAGAGAATTGGTTTCTTCTGTTCGACTGTTTTACTCTATTGTCTTCGCAGAACTCCCTGTGACAAAACAAATTCCCTTTCGTTTAAGTTTCGTTTATCACGACTTTCTGGACAGTTTCACCTTCAGATCCCCCGCTGGACTGGTAACTTCCCATTCACTGTTGTCTACTGGTCCTTTAACACGGCTGGCGTGCGTCCATCCTCCTTCTGCGGTTCGAACCGCAGTATCAGTAGGTAAGAGTACCAAATAAGGTCCCTCCCAACGGGGCTGTAGAGTGGCTTCTTTCCATGATCTTATAAGAACCCAATCTCCTGGCTTAATCTGGTGTAACCTAAAATCAAGAGGGGGTCTTTGGGTTATTTGACCTTTTTCCCACAACTCTTGTCTATATTTCATTAGTTCACTGGTATAGATATTAATGGTCTTATCTATGATATGTGGATGATCAATAGGAACTCCTGCATCGTAGGGCATTCCATACAACATTTCGAAGGGAGATATTCCTATATCGGCCCTAGGTTGTGCCCTAATGTTTAACAATGCTAAAGGAATACATTTTATCCATGAGAGTTTGGTTTCTAGTGTTAGTTTCGCCAATTGCTTTTTCAACTCTCCGTTCATCCGTTCCACACGTCCCGAGCTTTGGGGATGCCAAGGAGTGTGTTCTTCCCACCTTATTCCCAAGGCTTTTAGATGTAAAGTGGGGACCTTGATCGCAGTCGATAACCTCAGTGACCCCGTATCTCGGGATTATTTGTTCTAAAAGGACCTTTGCCACAGTCTGAGCAGTCGCTCTAGAGGTAGGGAAGGCCTCAATATAATGAGTGAGGTGGTCTACAATGACTAAAACATATTTGTAGCGTCCTACTTGGGGGAGTTCCGTAAAGTCAATTCGGACTCGAGAAAATGGTCTTACTGCTAGGGGTCTTCCACCCATAGGTACCCTTCTTTGTACAGCTCTATTGATCTTCAAACATGTGGGGCATCCTTGGGTAATTTTCTTTGCTAAGTCGTGGAGACCTACAGCCATATATTTGGTGGCAAAGTGGTCTACCAAACCCTGACTTCCCCAATGGGTTTGTCTATGTAAATTAGTCAAGATATTGAAGGCTATTGATTTTGGTAGTACCTCTCTTCCATCTGACAGATACCATTGCCCTTGTTCATTCTTAGTTACTTTCATTTGAGTAAGTTTCTGTTCCTCCTTAGGGGTGAACACGGGAGGTGCTGTTCTCAATTCTGTCTGTTGTGGTTTATCCTTTGTTAGTACTAATGCACGTAACGCAGCTTGTTTAGCCTCTTGTCTGCCATGTTATTTCCCCACGTCTTGTAGTTGGTTCCTTTTTGATGCCCCCTTAAATGTACTACAGCTATTTTAAGCGGTCCTCTTAGTGCTTGCAAAACTTCCCTTATTGGTTCTTGGTGTGTTAAGTCCTTTCCCTGGGAGTTAATTAGTCCCCTTTCTTCCCAGATTTTTCCAGAAGTGTGTACTACTCCATAACTATATTTAGAGTCAGTGCCTATTGTTCCTGATTTTCCCTCCAGTCTTCTTAAGGCCTGCAGAACTGCATATAGTTCACAAGCCTGCGCTGACCAAGAGGGGCTCAACGGCCCAGATTCTGATACCCTTAACATTTTCCCGTTTATCAGTGCATATCCTGATTTCCTTTTTCTGTCAATCACCCTAGAAGACCCATCTACAAAGATTCTTTCTCCTTCACCTAATTCTTCCTCTTCTAGGTCTGGTCTAATTTTTGTCTGATTCTCAATAGTTTGAAGGCAATTATGTAATAATTGTGTTTCCTCGGGTGTGCCATATAGAAACTGTGCAGGATTTTGTAAGCTAGTAGTTTCTAGGATTAAATTTGGTGCTTCTAGCAAAATACCCTCATATTTCAACAAACGAGAATCTGAGATCCACTTTTCAGCTTTTTGTTGTAAAACACTCCGAATATTATGGGGAGACAACACCCTCATGTCGCTGTTAAAGGTAATTTTTCTAGCCTCTTCCACTAATAAAGCACATCCTACCATCGCCTGCAGACAAGTGGGCCATCCCCTACTCACTGGATCTAATAATTTTGAAAAGTACCCTATAGGCTTTTTCTTTCCAGCCCACTCCTGAGTCAAGACTCCATACGCTGTACCATCGTCTGTATTGACAAACAAATAGAAAGGTCTCTTAAGATCAGGGAGGCTTAAAACCGGGGCACTGAGTAGATCTTCTCGCAATGCCTCCCACCTCCTCTCCTCATCTTCACCCCAAGTTATCCATCCTTCGGGGGTTAGTTTTTGATATAAAAATTTCACTTTCTTACTATAATTCTCGATCCATTGCCTACAATATCCCACTAGCCCTAAAATCTGCCTTATCTGTCTTTTACTTTGGGGGGGTGGCAGGGACAATATCCCTCTTATTCTTTCTGGGTCTATCTTCTTCTCCCCTTTGTTAATATAGTGACCTAAATATCTGACTTCTTCTTCTACAAACTGTAATTTTGTCTTTGAAACTTTGAGGCCTTTTTCCCCTAGAAAATTAAGGAGTTTGATGCTTTCTTCCCTAACCTGTTCCTCCTCTTTTCCCGCGATTAATAGAACATCGACATACTGGATAAGGGTGATTTCTGGAGCTGGTTGATATTCTTGTAAAATCTGTTCTAGGGCTTGCCTGAACAGAAGTGGGGATTCTGTAAAGCCCTGTGGCAGTACTGTCCACCTCAACTGCTGTTTTCTCCCTGTGTCCAGGTCTTCCCATTCAAAGGCAAAATAATCCCGGCAAGACTCATCTAGAGGGCAAGTCCCAAATGCATCCTTTAAATCAATTACACCATACCATAAATTTTCAGGGCCTAATTTGCTCAACAAGGTGTAAGGATTGGCAACTACAGGAAAACAGGATATTGTCCTTTTATTTATTTCCCGTAGATCATGCACCAAACCATACGTACCATCAGGCTTTTTCACCGGCAATATGGGAGTATTGAATGGGGACACGCAGGGTTCCAGTAACCCCTGCTTTATGAGTCTCTCTATTTCTGGCTTTAGGCCTCTCCTTCCCTCCAATGAAATGGGGTATTGTTTTATTTTTATAGGGATTTCAAGGTCTTTAAGTTTAACTGAAAAAGGAGGTATTTCTAGACGTCCTACACTTTCGATGTAACCATACTTCAGGGTTAATCCTTTCTTCATCTTCCACCCTTAAAGGGCAAAGTTTAATCCTTATTTCCCTGTTCCTTACCTCCAAGCTTATTCCCAGTTCTATAATTAAATCTCGTCCCAACAAATTGAATTCAGCTTCTGGTACTATTAAGAAGTCTCCCAATCCTAGCTTAGATTCTGTTTCTATTTCTACATTTTTAACGACCCCTACCTTAAAGGGTTCTCCCTTGGCTCCTACTACTAGGGCTGTCTCTCTGGACAACTCACACCCAGAGGGTAGTTGTTGTATGGTGGATCTCAGCCCCTGAGTCCACCAGAAATTCTACTTCTTCCTGTCGGGGACCTATCTTTAATTTTATCAAGGGCTCACGGTGTTTCTGAGTCCCCAAAAGGTAAAGGCCCTGACCTCCCTCATCCTCCTTAAACATCTTTGCATCTTGTATCCTACTCCTACAATTTTTCTTTAGATGACCTTTCTTCCCGCAGTAGAAGCAAGTCCGTTCTTCTTTTCTTTCCCTTACTCCTTCACTCTTCCCTTGACTGAAGGGTGGTTTCTGTAATGGTCTCCTTTCCTGCTTGTCCAACTCCCGACTCTCTCTAACCGCGGCCACCATCATCCTAACTTGCCTCTTCTGGTTCTCATCATCCCTGCGAACACAAACCTTCTGGGCTTCCCTTAGTAATTCATCCATTCCCCTGTCCTGCCAATTCTCAATCTTTTCGAGTTTCTTTCATACAAACTGTGTTTTTAACAAAGCCTGTCCTAACGGGGTTTCAGTATCCAGCCCTGAATACATCTGTAGATTTTTCCAGCCAGTCATTAGGGGATTCCTCTTTCTTCTGCCTTTCGTTAAATGCTTTATTGATATTCTGACCTCTAGGGACTGCTTCTCTAATCCCTTGGATAACTATACTTCGTAAATCTTGCATATGTATTCGGTGATTTGGATCTTGGTGGTCCCATTGGGGTCTTTGTAGGGGCCATTTTACATCTGCCTGATGTCCCTGAGCATGCTGGGCGTCCCAAACTCTCATTCCTGCAGTCCTAATCATATGTTTCTCTTCAGTTGTAAATAAGATGCCTAGAATTGACTGTAATTCATCCCACGTGTATATATTAGGGCCTAGAAACTGATCCACCCTTTCCACAACTCCTAATGGGACTTCCAAAATCTTACCCATTTCTTTCTTAAATTCCCTAACGTCCCTCGAGCTTAGAGGCATCGAAACAAATCCCATCTGTGGATTGGGGCCCCCCATAGGTACCTCTCGCAGTGGGTACAGATTTTGCTGACGTGTCCTTCCCCTGGTTTGAGGGCCCAAATTAGGGTCCATTCCCTGATTATTTGAATTATCCTGGTTATCTACCTCGGGTTGTGGAAGAGGAGGAGCTATCGGTTGTGGTGGGACATAAGGTGGGGGTCCCATGGGGATATCCTCCTCTTTTCGAGGCTTCTGTTTCTCAGTCTTTGTGCCTACCTCAGACAATTTGAAAATCCAGATTCCTGGTCCCCCTGGGCGTGTAACCCAAACAGCTGCATATTCACTCTCTTCCTGACTGAAGGGAGTCTTAGTGTTAACCCAAAAATTTAACTGCTGTTGCACCCAATCTTCACTGGATCCAAATTTCGGCCACCAAACAGCTGGGCCGATCTTTTGATCTCCCCATACTTCTACACAGTAATGAATCATCTTGGCTTTAGTCTTATTTCCTGTCCCGGGATAGTACCTCCACATTTCTAACATGAATGCTAGAGGGGAATCCTTTGGGATTGAAGGACGTTTCATGGCTACGGGGGCCTTGCTCTTTCCCTGTCCCATCTTCCGGAGTGCCTTCACTCAACTGTGTGTGCGTTCCCCTCGCTTCCCCTCGTTTGTGGCTCACGCCTTCGCAGGCAGTGAGAACCGCACTACTAGAGGGTCCACAGTCGCTTGTGTTAGTCTGAGCTACCGGCCCCCTCTCACACACACACCATTCATCACACTCCAGGAAACCAGACCCCGACCGAACGGAAAACCCTTGCCAAAACGGCAGTTACTTACGCGTCCTGCGTCTTCGTCCGGACCTTTGTGCACAAAATTTAAGGGGTCGACCGGTCCTTTCTTGCCTTTTTGCTCTTAGATTTCGGATCGTCGGTAGGAGTAAGGCAGGGAGTCAAGAGTGGGGCCGCCAATTCTGGCGGGGCGCCTCCCCAGCCCTCAGAACCCAGCCACTATTCCTATCCGAGTCACGGCACCAACGACACAAAGAGTGCAGACGCACACGGAGGGATGTGGGGGCACGTGAGCAACATTTGCTGGATGAACTGCCCTCGTGTTGGAGACCCTGCAAAAAGCTGGCGTGGAAAAAAACAAAAACGCTGATGCTGCTTTTTTGTCCCAGCTCTGACCTCACACGTGGAATTCAGCTTCCAGAACGGGGCTGAATCAGAGCTTCTGTGGGAGAGCCTGCACACAAACACGGCTCTAAGCAGCGCTAATGGGCACCTGCACAGCATTGGGACCCGCATCCCTGCTCCGAGGGACCGAGAGTCCCAGCGGTGAAACACCGCCAGTTCTGCTGCAGCCTTTAGTCGGAGGAAGAAGAAAACCAGCAGCAAAACGAGAGCTCGGGAAGGAGCAAAAATGCACTGGGTGCCCCCGCCTTCCTGAGGACCGGGCAAACGAGCAGCGACGTGCAGAGAAGCGCCACAGAGCCACGACGGGATGCTGACAGGAGGAAAAGGCAGACCGGGGCGACACGGGAAGCTGCCAGCATCCCCGGCGGGTCGCCTTTACCCTCTGCACGCCGCGCACAGGGGCAGGAAGCGGAACGCAGCACCGCACGGCGCTTTGGACGCCCGCCCTCCGCTCCTGTCCCTGCGGGCGGCCCGGCCCGGGCCCCGCGTTACCCCGACCGACGCAGCCCCACTGCGGCCTACCCCGCCCCACAGGAATCTGCTGCCTCATCGCCCCACACCGCCACCTCCGGGCCGCACTCACGATTGTCTCCGCCACTGCGCTGCCCGCACGGCCCCCTCACAGCTTCGCCTCGAGGCCTTCGCTCCCCTCGGCTCCCTCCGGCCCGCCGTTGCCCGAGTCTCCTCCGCCGCCGTCTCCCGGACCCCGCAGCCCGGCGTTCCGCCGCCAGAGGGTTCCTACGCTGGGCGGGGCGGTACGTCGCTCCCCGGTCCCCCGTAGCGCCTCGGTGCCACACGCATAACCGCCCCCCGAGCGGTGCGCCCCTGTCTTTTCGTTCCGCCGACGCGCATCGCCCCCTTGGTGCGGGGTCTCTCGGAGTCTCCGTATCCCCACCGAGGGGCTGTGGGGGTCGGGGCGGATCCCTCTGAGAAGGCTCCAGCCCTGAACGCATTCTCCCCAGTGCTGCTCTGAGACCACAGATACTATACTATACTATACTTTACTTTACTTTACTTTACTTTACTTTACTTCACCCCCTCCCAGACCCTCATTTCCTGCCTGTTTATGGTGCCAGCCGTAAACTACAGGAGGGGACCCAAGTGGGCCCAGCTGTGGGGCTGGCAGTCGCAGCCCTATTTAAGCCCCGGCCGCAGCCTCTCACATGATGGGAGTGTGACTGCAGCAGCCCTGAGAAGCAGCATGGTGCTGGGCAGGGAGAAGCTGTTCCAGTTCTTCAGGCCCTATGGGGAGGTAGGAAGCGGGGAGAGCAGCCGGCTGCTACCCCAGGTAATGCATAAGGGCCCCGTGCTGTGGGGTGGGACCTAACCCTGCTGTGGAGGGGACTGTGGGGTGACCCCATGTCATGGCCCTGAGAGGGATCGCCATAGGAATCCTGGTTAAGGACTTGGCCCTTGGGAAAGCACGTCCCTCAACTCACAGATCCCCAAGGAGGAAAGGAGATGACCCCACACTCCATCCTTGGGGGTCCCTATAGGGATAAATGGGGGTTCCTATTAGGGGCAGGTGTTCCAGAGGAGCTCACCTCTGTGGTCTTCCATCTTCATGGACCCCACGAATGCCCCATACCTGGCTGTTTCCCTGTGCCACAGTGGGATGTGTGGTGGCTGAAGGAGCCTACAGCCCCCTTAGGTAGAGTACATGGGGGGTATGAGGGCTGGGTACCACTGTGGAAGCATCCTGGGGGTCTGTGGGCCCTGCAGCTGCCAAGTTGTTCTTCTGTCCCATGCAGACGTCCCGGCTGGTGGAGCTGCCCCAATTCTCCGATGACGATGATGATATCTTGCTGCTGGAGGATGCAGATGATCCTGTGGCCAAGCACAACCCAGAGGAGTTGTGCCCCACCCTCTGCAAGCCAAGTGCCTTCAGCCACTGTGTGTGGCACTTAGCCTTCCTCTGGAACCTCCTCTTCCTCCTGCTGGGCCTGCTGACCCTGGCCATAGGGATCTGGGGGCTGCTGGCCAAGGGCTGGCTGCAGGGCGAGCGCTTGGCCCCACTGGGCTCTGACCCCATGCTGCTCTTCGTGCTGGCAGGGCTGGGGGCCAGCACTGTGTCTCTGGCTGGTTGCCTGGGTGCCCTCCGCTCCAGCGCCTGCCTGCTGCGCTTCTTCGTGGGGGCCGTGTTGGCCTTTGTGGGGCTGGAGGCGCTGGGAGGACTGCTGCTGCTGCTGGCACGGCAGCGGCTGCGGGATGCGCTGCAGGATGCCCTGCTGCTCTGCCTGCTGCGCTACCAGGAGGAGCCCGACCTGCGCTTCCTGGTGGACGAGGTGCAGCGCAGCCTGCGGTGCTGCGGGCTCAGCTCCTACCGTGACTGGGAGAGCAACCCGTGAGTGAAGCCGGGGGCAGGTGGGGGCATGGATAGGGCTAGCAAGAAAGCAGCAGGCACCCAGCTCTTCTCCTTCTGTGTCCTGCAGGTATTTCAACTGCAGCTCACCCGGCGTGCAGGCGTGCAGCGTCCCGGCCTCTTGCTGCCTGGATCCGCGGCAGAACGGCTCCATCACTAACGACCAATGTGCCTTTGGGGTGCTGCAGCTGGGGGACATGGCGGCTGCTGGCGTGGTGCACCTGGGGGGCTGTGTGGTTCAGCTGGGTGCCTGGCTGCGTGCGCAGGCTGGAGGCATTGCCACCGGTGCGGCTGTGCTGGTGCTGCTGGAGGCCACCGGGCTGCTCCTGGCACTAAAAGTGCTGGCAGACATTGCGCCTGGTACAGCACGGGGCTGAGGGTGTGCTGTGGGGCTGCAGAGGATGCTGAGCTCCCTGCGCTCTCCTTCCTGTCCTCCTTTGTTGTACCTGTGCATCCCATAATAAATCTGAACCCTGCCTGGGTCTGGTCTATCTCCTCTCCTGTGTGGTTGCACCCCCTCACAGCACACGTAGAGGCTTTCTGGCCCAGATCATCACACCAAACTCCTGTGTTTATTTCAGGTTTTAATGAGTGTTTCTCCAAGCTATGCCCCGCTATGTGGATGGGGCAGTTTCTAAAAAAGCACTGCTATAGGACAGGTGGTGGTGGCCATAGCCAGCCTAGATGATGCCATACTGAGCCAGCTCGTGCAGCTCCAAGTGGCTGAAGGCTTCCCAAGGGCAAATCACGGTGATATCTGTGGAGAGCAGAAGATGCATCAGCACAAGTCCCAGCCCTGCTGCAAGCCCTGCAGCTGCAGCAGAAAGGAATGGGGACCACGTACCTGTTCCTAGCCCCTCCATGCCTGGGATGTCATCGCCAAACCTGCAAAGAAACCAGGTGTCTGTCCTCACTATGCATCAGCCCTGAGCAGCATCACCTGGGTGCCTTCAGGCATGTCCCACACTGGGCCCTGGTGCTCAGCCCTACTCACCCCTGCACCCCTTTTTTGGGTGGCTTGCTCTTGAATTGCCGTGTCTGCCTCTGCTTGAACTTAGGTGGTCCTTTTCGGGGGGTGGCAGGTCCGCCAGTCACCCGGGTGGCTGACTTGACTTCTGGTTTGTGGGGCTCCAAGCTCATGGCTGTAGCAGGGCCAGCAGCCTGCCCTGCGTCACAGCTGTCCCTGTGGCTCTGGCGCTGACACGGGATGGCTCCTCACACCTGGCACAGGGAGGACATGGGGCACTGGGGTGAACCTTGACGTAGCTGCAGCCATCGCAGTGCAGAGATGTGCTGTGCCATGCCATCCGGGTGCCCTTGTTCCCACCCTGCCACGAGCCCTGCAGAGCTGATCCGCTTTCCGGGCTGCTCTGGGGTTGGGCACTTTCCCTCCTCTCCCTGGAATTAGGCCAGCTCAGACCCCGCTAATCTCCTTACCCCAAAGGCAGCAAAGGGCACCCAGGGAGGGCAAACTGAGCCCCTGCACTCCTTGGGGCAATGCCTGCAGCCCTTTCCCCCCACTGCAGGTAGATGTGCACCACTGGGTGCCCCCACCACGATATATAACTGCAGAGATGGGCATCACAGCTGCCACCGTGAGTTGAGGGCAGTGCAGCTGTGTGCCAGGAGTGAGCTGTAAGCTGCTTGCAGGGCTGGCTTGCAGCTGGATGATGCTCAGGTGTGGCTCACAGGGCTCTGAGCGCTGCGGTCTGGAGGGGCTGCAGCTGATCCTGAAATCCCAGGGCAGCACATGGCTCCATCCTGCAACCTGCCAAGCACTGGGGCTTTGTAGCACAGGCAGCTCTCACTGCCAGCTTGGCAGCACTCGGCATGGAGACTGCAAGTGCAGGAGGTGAGCTGGGCAATGCCCAAGTGGCTCCAGCTGGGCAATGCCATGCACTGCAGCCCCAGTGCCTACAGGTCTGAGTGCTGTCTCACACATAGCAAAGCCATCACTTACCGTCCCCAAGGCCAGTGCTGCTCCAAACGACTCCCTGCAACCTGCTCCACAAGTCCTCCAAGTGCTCTGGGTGGCGGCTGGGGGCTGGCAGATTTATCCTCTTCGGGGATAATAGGATTAAGTCCCTTCTTCTCAAATGGGTAATCTAGTGTCCTTCCCCAAGTGCCTGTGAGGAGGAGGGTGGGAGTATGTGCGTGCATGGGGAGGGGGTGTCAGGATTAACGCCACGGGGACGGGCTGTGTGTTGGCACTGCTGCCTCACCCCACAGAGCATGGCCTTGGAGCAGGGAACAGCTGCAGAGCACCCACGGGGATGTCCTGCATCATCCCTGGAAGGGACACCCCTATGCCTCGAGCCACTGCACCATGGGGACAGGGATGGGACCATAGGCAGCAGAGCGCTCAGGGCAGCGCTTCATGATGGTGCTGGCACCAAGCACAGCACGCCCACACCATCCCTGACACCATTCCAATCGGGATCACAAAACACGAAGGTCACCAGCTCATCTCACGTGTCACTGAGGACACCTGAGCACAGACAATTTGAGGGCACTGCAGGCTCTGCTTCACCAGCCCAAAATGTGGTGGAAGCGTCCCACTGCCCACTCTGCCCTGCTGCATGGGAGTATCACTCCAAAGCCTCCTGTAATCCCAGCACTAAAGCAATTACAAAAAGGTATAATCTCAGCACACTTTAATTGAACTTCAGCCCCTTTCACTAATGGCAATTAGTTAGGTTTCAGCAAATAGGATTACATGGGTCCAGAGGTGTTTCATATGAAGCTGGCAGAACCAGCCTCTCTTACAACAAGGGCCAGCGTCCTGTTGTTAATTAATGCTCCCAGACCGAGCTTCATTAGCAAATGCCACTCAGGAGCCACTCTTGGTGGCGTTCGGTGCACTGGCTGGATGGGGTGAGGTTCTGCGTGTCATCAGGCCGAGGCTGTGCTCAGCTGGGCAGGATTTGGTGAGGTGATGCCTCAAGGTGAAGTTTAAGGAGTTTCAAGGCAGAGATGAATGAGGAAGAAGCAGCACTGTGAGGAGCTGCCCTTGATGGGACGTTGCAGGGCCCACGTGCTCCAGCTGCACCCAGCAAATCCTACAGCACTGGGAAAGGGCTGGAAACCCCTCCAGACAGCGGTTACAGAGAAGCCCCTAAGAGGCTTAGTGTAGCGTGGGGAGGACAGTGTGACACCACAGCCCATTTCCGTCACCAGGCTGCTGTTATGCTGCAAGGACGAGGCAGGAGCAGTGGGAAGGGCCCTGCTCTCAGCAGGGATTTTCAGATAAAAGCACAGAGTGCTGACACCACCCCTGCACCGTCAATGCTGGGGCTACACGTGGGGTGCACGTGCTTGATGAATCCCTCCAGCCTGATGCAAACAAATACTGTAAATCCCCACCTCACAAACCAACATCCAAAAGCCCACAGGTACGCCGTGTCCCAATCCTCTTGTCCCGGGGAGACTCCTGGAGCTCAAGCAGGAAGTTCCTCACCAGTTTTTGAGCTGCTGACAGGGCTCAGTTCGTCCCCATGCGCAGCCTGATCTCCAGCTTCAGGACCGCTTTGATGCTCTCATCCTGCACATGCTGCTCCACGGCCGCCAGCGCCCGCTCCCCACCATCCCCATAGTGCTGCAGCAGCTGCTCCACGTACTCGATCCAGACGCAGTTGTGGCAGCCGCTCATGCAGCAGTTGGTGGGCGGTGGGAGCTCAGGGGGCTGTGGATACGGGGTCTCAGCCCCCCGCATGGTTTCCCCCTCACCCTGGGGGGTTCCAGTCTGGCAGTCGCTCCTCGGGGTGTCTGAATGCTTTCCATAGCTGCAGAAGGTGCTGGGGTGGGGGGCTCTGCGCTGCTGTTCCTGCAAGGGATGGCTCTACGGTGGTGCTGCATGGGGGGGCTGCCCCCAGCACTCTGCCTTGAGCGATATCCCCCCCACAGCACCCTGGGGCTCTGCTACACCTTCGCACCCAGAGTCCTGTTCCCTCCCCGACCAGCCCCATATAGCACTGGGCCCCGGGTGCAGCCCTCCGACCCACCATTAGAGCCCTCAGAACTCGAGTGCAGTCCCCAAACCCCTCGGCGCAGCCCCCAGAACCTTCAGAGCAGTTCCTACAGCCCCTAGAACCCCAGCGCAGCCTCCCAAACCGTCATTACAGCCCCCAAATTCCCCACTGCGGCCACTCCCCAGCCCCTCCCCTACCCCCGACCCCCTCGGGTTCCCCCAGGCCCCTCCTCCGGGCTGCAGCCCCGCCCCGTCCCCGCTCACCTCCCGTCCCCTCCCCGCCAGGCCCCGCGCCGCCCGCGCCGCCCGCAGTAACATCCTGCCGCCGCGCCCCGGCAACGGCCCGCCCCCCTTCCTGTTCCGAGCGACGGCTCTCTCATCCAATGGTAGCCCAGTTTTTGGGCAAGGTTAGCCAATGAGAGCGCTGCAGCGGAGCACAGCCAATCGGAAGAGGGAGGCGGGGCGGAGGCGTCGGAGGGCAACCGGAAGCGGAGGCAGTAGAGGGAGTGGAGACCGCGTGGGGAGCGGCGGGGCCATGGGGCTGGGGAGAAAGAAGGGACAGGGAGCGGGACGCGGAAAGGGGCTGGGATCAGAACCGGGAAAAAGAAAGGGACAAGGACTGAGAGCGGGACATGGAAAGGAACAGGGACCGGCCCCGGGAAGGGGCCCAGCCGCCGCTACGCCACGCGGCAGGTCAGTGCCCGGTGCGGTGGGGCTCGGGCAGGCTCCCGGGGCCGGCTGGGTCCCGCTGAACCGGGCTCCCCGATGCCCCGTCACAGCCCATACCGTTCCCGTTATCCCCCAGGAAGGAGAAGGCGTTGGTCAACCTGAAGCCCAAGCACCCCGACGAGCAGGAAATCCCTTTCCGCCTGCGGGAGCTCATGCAGAGCCGTGAGGCCATGAAGCACCCCAAGGCCCGGGCAAGGCGGGCAGCAGGTGGGGGCCTGCATCCTCTGACATGTCCCCATCCCAGACTGTCCCTGTCTATAATCTTGCTGTCTGTCTCTCCTAGAGAAGCCACAGCGTCCCCAGGGGACCAAGGCACAGGAGGACATCCCTGTGCCCAGGTTCCGTCGGCGCAGAGGGGAGTCGGAGCGCTCCTACGTGTGCCGCATGGAGCGGGAGGTGCAGCATGTGCTGGTCCTCAGCAAGAACCAGGTGCAACGGGAGCCTGAGAAGGAGGCAGCAGCGCCGCAGAAGTCTCAGAGAAAGAAAGAGTGAGAGCAAAACCAGCACGGCTGCTGAGGCAGGGCTGGGGCAGCCAGGGCCGTGCTCTGATTCTGAGACCCAGCTCTACAGGGCTGGATCTGAGCCCAGCCCTTGGAGCAACTGTACACTCCTGGTGCTAGGCCAGGCAGGGGAAAACAGCAGACTTTCGAGGGGATTCCATGGGGTGGAAGCTCTCTTCCTCCCTGCGGGTTGTAAGATAGCTCTTCAGGTTTCAGAACAAAAAGCTGGACAAACTGCGGAAAAAGAAGGAGGAGAAGAAAGAGGCTTTGCTGGAGAAGAGCCTGTTCCAAGGTGGGAATGGTGCAGGGAAGCTGACTGCAGTGACCCATGTGCAGAGGTGGGAGCAGCGTCCTCCCTGACACCAGGTTCTCTCCCAGACCCAGTGGCATTCGGTGAAGTTGTGACAGAGCCACCCACCATCACCTCACGGCCCCGCAGTGGGGGTCCCACCGAGAAGGTGAGGTTTTGGGGGCACGGGGCTCTGTGCCTGTCTCTGCCTCCCTGACCCATCCCATCTCTGCCTACAGGCCGGTCGGAAGCGGCTCCTGCTGACACCTCACCTGGGCCAGAGCCGGGCAGCCCCCACTGTGCCAGTATCACTGGCTCGCCAGCGCATCGTGCAGGAGGAGCGAGCGCGTGTCATCCAGGCCTACCGGGACATCCAGAGGCGCAAGCAGCAGCAGCGGGACGCAGCGCGGGGAGGCACCCAGCCTAGCAGTAGGGTACCAGGCTGAGCCCCCCTGTCCCAGTGAGGGGACGCAACCCCTGGACCCCCGTGAGGAGCAGCGTTAGGATTGCACCGCCCTTGTGACGGTCAGCTGGGCGCGCAGGCAGCACTGGGGATGTGGAACCCTGGGGCTCAGTGGGGACTGTCATCCTGTTCCCACTTTGCTGCCAGTACAGAGACCTGCGCCCTTCCCAGCACCTCGGAGCGGGCGCCCTACAGAAGGCAGGGGCCTGCCTGTGAGGCTGTGGGGCCACGGACTTGCTTGTAGTAAAAGTGCTGATAAATGCTGAAGATGTGCGCTTGTTTGTGCCTCCTGCACCATCCCAGCTTTGCTGGCAGTGTGCAGTGGCTGGGAAGGGACAGGGCCGTGTTGTATGCCAGCAGATGGCAGTCCCAGCCTGCAGCACGCATGGCATTGCTGTCACCACAGGCTGGCCTGGCAGTGCTGGCACTGCACGTCCTCTGGTAGAGGCAGGACCCTCCACTGGATACTGCATGACCATTTCCTGCCCTGGCTGTAGTGAGGAGGGGAGCAAGCCGAGCCCAGGAACACAGAGCATTTCTTATGCTGAGTCTACGCTCACCTGCACAGTGTCACTTTCCTCCATCGTTGCTCTCACCCCTTGGAGTCGTTATGTGAGCCCGCAGTCCTCAGCCACGCTCCCCGTGCTTTCAGTATCCCCAATCCACATTCCTGCCAGGCACCAGCATCGCCGCTGGGACCCCATCCGTGCCCCGTGCTGGAGATGACAGCCCCGCCAGCTGCCCCCCACTCAGCCTCAGGGCTGCAGATCGCTCCCGGCACAGCGCAGCCCACGTGCGGCCGTTTCACCTGCGCAGGACAAAGGCAGCGCTGTTCCTCAGCCCCGTGCCGCACAAAGCGCTGCCTGTTGGAGCTGGGCCGCCCTGCGGCCAGCACTGGCAGAGACCAGGGGCTCCGGAGGGGCCGAGGCCGCCGGCAGCACCGGAATGGCACAGCCCAACCCAGCCCTGAGTCCTTGCACAGGGCTGAATGGGAACAGTGTCTGCGCACCTTGTTTATAGGGAGACTGCTGTCCCCGGGGCTGTGTCACCCCAGGATGGCCATGCTGTGCTGTGCTGCTGACTGGGGACCACAGTGCGCCTTGCACAGGTTGGGGCAGCTGTGGTGCACCCAGCTTGGCAGAGGGAACACACAGCACGTGCTGTGCAGCGCCAGGAGGAGGGCAGGCTGCAGAGCCCCGGGGACCTGGAGCTCTTGGTGCTGCCTGGAGACGTCCCCACAGCCAGCTGGCACCAGGTAAACACCAGTGATGCAGCACAAACCCAGGGGCACAAGCAGTGCCTGATGGGAGCCTGCTCCTACCGCACACCATCATCTGCCCTGGCACCTGCTGTGTCACGACAGGGCTGTGCCACATCCCCAGTGCTGGGAGCATCCCCGGAGCAGGGGGATGTGCCTGCAGGGCTGGGACACGGCGTGCGCTGAATACTTGCACATGGTGCCTTCAAGGAGACCGAGTTACCCACCTCCCCCAGCCAACCACTATGGAGCCATCTCAGCCCTGAATAATTCATGATGCTCCTGTTGGCTCAGCCACAGGCTTCCTGCCCGCAGCAGAAATCGCTGCAGAAGGGAAAGGCAATCTGGCAATCTGAGCAGAAGCTGCCCCTGACCTTGGCATGTCCTCTGCACCATGCTACCTTCTGTAGGGCAGCCATTTACCCATCCTGGCACAGCCGCCCTATCTGCTCCCTGGCCCCCAGTGCAGGAGCATGTGGCCACTTGGGGCCATGCTGGGGATCCATGGTGTCACCAAGGAAGGGAGGAGGGGCTGAACACAATGGAACAGAGGTAGAAGCCCTTGGCTGATGGATGCAATGCAGCTGGGCACCCCATCCCCATCATACTACAGGACCACGTAAGAAAACTCACCTTTATTGGGTCTGACCTGAAAAAGGGGAGAGGAACAGAGGAAGGAGGGGGCCCAGCTCCATCCCAGTGCTCTGAATGTGATCCTCAAGCCCTGGCACGGAGACTGGGATAAGGCACAGATCAGGCGGTCGGAGCCGCGGGGAGAGACCACTGGGAGCTGAAACCCAGAGCATCCCCATGTCCCCCAGTGACAGGAGGAGCGAGGCACAGCAGGAGGGTTGGGAGAACTGGGGATGGCTTGGGGTGCAGTGCCCTGGCCTGGGCTCAGCACTGGGTGAGGTTCACGAGGTGCAGCCCTGGGCAGGCACCCCCTGCTGCTGGCTGTCCAGCAGCAAAACATCCCCAGCCTGGAGCGAACAGGGTGTCCTTGCATGGTGAAGGCAGTGTTGGGACAGCATGGGGTGGCAGTGGGGAGCTGCGCAGAGCAGGCAGCCTGCAGTGCCACAGCCAGGCAGCATGGTGCAGGCTGCGGGGCTGCATCCAGATATTCCCAGCTCAGGAACTGGCTCCAACAGGGTCAGATGCACCAGGCAGGGAGGCAAGGTAGGGTCACAGCTGCGCCAGTGCTGTAGGAGCTGGGCTTCACCACCGGTTCCTGCTGTATGGGGACAGCACCTGCAGGCACAGCAGGATGGCACTGGGCAGTACGCTGAGCAGCTCAAAGCCATCCCCACCCGGCGCCATCCCCACCCCTGCCTGCATGGGAAACTCTGCAGCATAGGCAGACTTTGCACCCTGAGTCTGGCCAGCAGCCCAGCATCACTGCCCCCTCCCCGCTGCTCGTTGCTCATTAACCCACCTGGCTGCCCCGAGCATCTCGCTGTGCTGCAGCGTGCCGGGCCTGCACGGCAAAGGCATCCTCGGCTCGCAGTGTGGAGCTGGCACTGCTGGCGGTGGTGGCACGGGGCAGGATCACATCATAAGGACCTTCACTCTGTGGGGAACAGCAGAATGCAGAGGGCTGGGAATGCTCCTGGGGAGCTTGGCAAGGAGGGGACCCACCCCAGCACTGAACATCCCAAGCTGACGTGAGGATCAGGTGCACCCTATATACCTTTATCTGGCCCCATCCCAGCCACCTGTTATTGATCTGCTCAGTAAAAGCTCATCTCATGCGGAAGGCACTGGTGCTGCCCTTACCGTCCCCTTGTGCATCAGAGCCATCTCTGTGGGCTGGTAGACGCTGGTCAGCAGCTGCCCATTGTAGCCACTGTACGGGGACACCGGCTTCTTGGCTGCAAAGAGACAGGGATGGTGAAAAGGCTGAAAACAGGGGCCTCACTCAGCCACCCAACCCGGGAGCTGAGCCTCGTTAGCAGCTTAATGAGCTGCCCTATGCCCTTCCCTGGGGACGTCCCTGGGGTTTGCATCACTGCAGGGTGGGAGGGGCACCCCCAGTGTTACTGCAAATTCTGCTGTCACCTCGCTGACGCTGCTTCGACTAACGAGCAAAGAGCCAACCCAGGGCGGAGGGCCGGGAGCCGTGGGCACCCCACGCCGGGGAGGGGAGCGCGCCCGGAGCGGCTTGAGCTCAGCCCCAACTGGTACACCCAGCCCGGCGTGTTTTCGGGAGCCACAACAATGCGGGCACGGCTCCCGGCCGCTGGGTGGGTCGTGGCAGCAGACGTCTCACTGTGCCGTGCTGTGCCGACCCCGCAGCCCGGTGCCTACCGAAGGAAGGCTCATCCATGGAGAAGGCTTTGTTTTCTACAAACATGCTCTGCGACTTCTGCTCCTTCAGGATGGTCTCGTAGCCCACCCCACGCGTGGGGTACACGTCGTCCTCGTAGCCTTGCTCAGAACTGCGCCGCGTCACGTGCGTCACCTCGGGGATGACGTAGAGGAGGATGAAGGCGTAGGCGTTGGACACCAAAGCGATGGCCAACGTGGGGTCATCCCAACCGGGCTTCTTGCCCACGTGTTGGTTCCCGTAGAGGTACATGGCCGTCCATGCCACCCAAATGGCCATGGAGAGCCCAGAGGTGGCCAAGATGAAGGCGCCGTGCTTCCTCCAGCGCGTGTAGCGGCCGCAGAGGGCCGGCCAGGCGGTGCCAAAGGCAGCCACCAGCAGCACCATGACATAGATGAGCGCCATGACAAAATCAGCATCCGCCAGCCCGCAGGGGTCTGTAGGCCCGCCCTCCTGCCGGGCCACCGTGATGATGAGCCACTCGGCGTTGATGATGACCTCCACCAGCGCCAGGAGCAGAGCCACCGCCAGCGTCACCCAGCCTCGCGGGCCACAGTTCCTCCGCGCCAAGAAGTTGAGGGCCACGGCGTGTGCCAGCAGGCAGGAGAAGCAGAGTGCGAAGAGGACACCGAAGAGAAAGCGGCGAGAGGTGCAGGTGGAGAAATCTGGCCCCACGATGAAGTCAAACGTCAGGCAGAAGAGCCCGAAGGTGCCCAGCAAGAAGAAGGCCTGCGTGGCCACCAGGCTCTTCTTCTGGGGGTCCTCCACAAAGGGCAGGCTGGCCACCAGCACGATGGTGAGCACGAAGCTGGTCACGGCACCCAGGCTGGCCGCGGCCTCCAGCACAATGCCCCATGCTGCTGACAGGTCACAGAGGTTGTAATAGAGCGAGGAGAGGTCCTGGCTGCATCCTGATGGAGGGGTGCTCTGGGCACGGCCCACAGGCAGCAGAGCCAGCAGGATGCAGGCAGCTGCCAGCACTGCAGCACCCATCCTGCACGGCAGGTGGGTGCCAAGCAGGGATCCACGGACCCTGTGGGGAAGAGAAGCGTTACAGAGCTGGGAGCAGGAGCTGATGCTGCCTGTGCTGTCTGCAGGTGCTGGAGCATCTCTGTGGCAAGTGAGCAGCTCCTGGTGAACCCACCCCACCACAGCCCAAAGCGGAACCAGATTAGAGCAGGCAGACGTGCATCTCCTGTCACCTCCTTGCCTGGATGCAGCACTGTGCCCGTGGGCCTCCTGGAGGAATCGAGCACGGGTCTGGGCTGGGAAGCAGAGCTAACACTTGGAGATGCTTGGGGCTGCATGCTAGCACAGCTTTGCACGCCAGCTCGTTCCCCTTTTTGCTTCTCCTGGCCCACTTCCCTCCTGTGGCTCCGGGCACTGACCCACCATGGGTCTCGTGTCTGACCGTGCACACCAGCGCTCCTGGTCACACGCAGCTGCAGCCTGGCATGGCACAGCGTGGCACGGCATGGCACAGCACGGCGTTGCCCTGTGGGTACGGGTCCGTTCCCACTCCCAGCCCCAGGGAGCGCAGAGTGCCGGTAGCAGGGAATGAGGAAGGAGGGGGGCGAGCTGCAGCCCCTGCATTCCCCTCTGGGAGGAAACCGGGCAAGAAAACAGCAACAAGGTCACTCCGGGGCTGAAACAGGGGGGTGTTCCAGCCCCCAACTCACTGCCTCCGCTGCCAAAACCCCCGCCCTGGGGGACCTGAAGGCCGCCAACCCACTGCCCTCCCGGGGCCCCGCAAACAGCGGTGTCCAGGCTCCGCGGAGCTCCCCCGGGCCGGGACCTCCCGTCCGCGGTGAGGGCACCGGGGGACTCATTCCCTGTCGCCCCCGGCTCGCGGCGGATAGGGACACCAAGGGACGGGGTTCCGCCATCCCTCCCAGCGGCACCGACGGGTTCCCCCACACCCCCGGCTCGGGCTGGTCCCCGGAGCACTCCCGACTTTCCGTCCAGGAGAGCCAGTGGGGCGCACGGCTCTCCACCATTCCCGGTGTCCTTCTTCTTGTTCCCGGTCCCGGTGTCCTCCAGCCCCGCTCACCGGCTCCAGCGCCCCGTGTCCCGTCGCTGTGCCGTGCCGTGCCGTGCCGTGCCGTGCCGTGCCGTGCCGTGCCGTGCCGTGCCGTGCCGTGCCGTGCCGTGCCGTGCCGTGCCGTGCCGTGCCGTGCCGGCGAGCCCCGAGCCCGCGGCACGGCGCGCGCCTGCCCGGCCCCTCCCCGAGGTGCGGCCGCTGCCCGGGGAGCGCGCCCGGTGCCGGCCGGGACCTGCCCCACCGCACCGAGCACCCGCAGCACGGGAGCGGGGGAGCAGGTGGAGAGGAATGGGGACCGTCTCCCAAAACGGAAGGACCGAGCGCGGGGTGGAAGCGAGCACGGAGAGAATTCGAGCACCGGTGTAATGAGTTGGTGGGGTCTCAGCACAGCCGGGTGCCGGGGACGCAGCACACCGTGCCGGAGCAGCATCACACCGAGCTGTAACCGCAGCCGAGCAGCCCCGGGCGGCGGCCCGAGGGGCCTCCCGGAGGAATGTCAGCTGACGGCTGAGCCCTTGGCACCGCTTTTGGGTGAGCCTTTCCTGCGGGGGTTCGGGGCTCGGTGGTCCCAGCAGCCAGGCTGCACCCGTGTCTCGGCCATGGCACCCACAGCCACCCCATCCTTGGGGCTCAGGAAAGGGGAAGAGCCCCTTGAGGCTCAGGGCACCCATTGCTCTGCCAGTCCCGGAGGAGGTTTCCAGGCGGGCCCTGCTATTTTGGGAGGGTGAAGCAAGACGGTAAAGGATGCAGCCGAAAGTTCACCGTGCCGCCGGCAGGTCCTCCCCCAGCCCGGGATGGTATGAAAACAACCCGAGGAGCTGGAGCCGGTGACACCACTGCACGGGGAGCAGCACCCACAGCCACCGTCTGCCTGCCTCCGCCTGGCTCCCAGCGCCGCACTGGGGCAGGATCGTCCCTCCCCGCTGGGAACACACACGTGTGTGCATTCACACAAGCACTGAGCAGCGCTGAGCGCCCTGCAGAGGGGCTCCGCTGCCTCCCCGCCTCCTGCCATGACCCCGTGTGCCTCAGTTTCCCCAGGAAGTCGAGTTCTGCCTAGGAGCGAGGCCCCGCTTCCCCACCGCCTCCGCTGCCCCAGCACCGGGCTGCACAGAGGCCGAGCTGCACGCGGCTTCCTGCAGCGCTTCCTTCCGCTGCACAGAGCAGCCCCGGCCCCGCAGCCCCCCGTCCCCACCGGCTCCCATCCCACGGTGGCTGCTCCGTGGAGCCCACACGCTCCCACACCAGCTGGTCCAACCCACGCTGCGCACCCCTGCTGTTTCTCAGGAGGTGTTTTTGTAGCTCCTACAAAACCCACAGCAACACCCCTCTGTGGGGTAAGCCGGGTGCGATACAGCTGTAAGGCTGGGGCGCTCGGTGCCTGGCACGGTGTGAGCGAGGGCAGAGCCCAGCCCTGCTGCCCTGCTGTGCTGGGGGCTGAGCCCTCCAAGGCAGCACTGCCGGATGTCTCCCAGCCCCGCAGCGCTCGGCACAGCCAGGAATCAGAGCCAGGCTTCTGAGCAGGACAGGAGCGGGCCCGTTCCGAAAACATGGGCACGCCGGGCGCATTTTTTCCAGGCTTACCTCTCTGCAGAGCCGCAGGGCCGAGCTGACGGCAGCACGGTGGCCGAGCCCCAGCTCACCTTGGCGAAGGTGAGGGCCGTACCTGGGGGCCGAGGGGGGGCCACGTGCTCACCCTGCCCGCCACCTCTGTTTACGCCGGGGCTGGAGAGCTGTTTTCCATCTGAGCTGGTTCTGTCCAGAAAGGAGCCCCTCTCTGCAGGCGGACGCGGTTTGCACGTTTCCACCTCCCTCTCCAAGTAAATAAGCGCCGGGCGAGGGGGGGCTGGCGGCAGCCCTGGCCTCCGCACGGCGCTTGGGTTCAGTGCTGCCCTTCCCAGCCAGGCCCTCGTGCCCCCCACAGCCCCACAGTGCGGCCCCTGGCCTGGTTATGGGGTGGGAAATCCTGCAGGAGGGTGCGGGGCGGCAGGAGGTGCTCACTGCTGGGTTAATGTCTAATCCGGCCCCAGTCCTTCTCTCCTGAAATGCCAGAATTAATGGAGCGAGCACCTCCTGGCTACCACCCACCCCAGCGAGGCTGGGGCTGAACCCTGTTGGTGAGAGCAGGGCAGTGGGGGCCGGACCCCCCCGGTGTAATGCAGGGGTCAGCATTGTGCCCAGGGCTGCAGAGTGTGAGGAGCATTGCCCTGGATGTGTGCCTGTACCCGTGTGGGTCAGCCCCACATCATGAGGTCATCCTGGGCTCATCTTCTGTGCAGTGGGGGCAAAGGTAGGTGGGCATCCTACTGTGACCCATCCCACCCCAGTGCTGCACCCAGCCTGGTGGGCGCAGAGCACTGGGTTGCTCTCTGTGCCCTGCTTGGGGCAGCCCAAATATTCCTGGGCCATCTGAGCCCCCAGCACTGGGGCAGCTCCATGGGTGCTGGTTTATGAGGAATTACGGTGGAAAGGCCGCTCTGTTTGGGGGGGATTATCGTAAGGACCTTATGCAAGAATTAGGATGGAAAGTGGGGCAGGAAGGGCTGTTGCTCCGGACCTGGCTGCTCCCACGGGTCATAGGGTGCCAGCTCCCTGCTGCTGCTTGTGCCAGCTCTGCTGGGCGTCCTGTCCCTGCCCTCTGGTGGCAGCTGGGGACAGGCAGGCTGGCACGGCCCTGGCTGCTCAGCACTGCAGCAGTGTGGTGGTGTAAGTGAGAGCGTGGCTCTGAGCTGTGTGCGTGCCACGCAGTGGGGACACGGGGAGCCGGGTCACACAGAACTGCAGCACCCCGAGGGCACCAGGCTGAGCAGAGGGACTCAGATGGAGCCAGACCCACACAGCATTACAGACCGAACATCGGAGTTTATGCAGGAGAGCTCAACCCCATCACATTGCCTCCTCCCCAGGGCTGCAGAGCTCACCTGGGCCCAGCCCTGGGCGCAGGTTTGCTGCGTTGTTGGAGCTGGAGAGCAGCTGTGAGCTCCCACCACCCCCAGCACCGCAGCTCTGCGGGGCAGCATCCCTCAAGCGTGGTCCCACTGGGTGCTGGGTGAGCACCGAGACCCTCGGCTGGTGGCAGCACCCTGCTGAGCACGCCGTGCCCAGCAGCTGCAGTGGGCTCGGGGCTGGGGGCACAAAGCGGGCGCCGCTGTGGCGGAGGCCATGCCACGTGTGGCCACAGAGCACCTCGCTCACGGCGCGGCGGAACGTCTCGCTGACAAAGCAGTAGAGGAAGAAGTTGAGGGTGGTGTTGAGCATGGCCACCATGTTGGCGATGTCCAAGGCCAGGTGCACGCGCCAGTCCCGCTTGACCGAGGCCACATAGAGGTGGCACATCATGACAGCGGTGCGGGGAGCCCAGAGCACGATGAAGACAGTGGTGATGGCCAGGAGGAGGGCCGTGGTTTTGCCCCGGTGCAGCCGGCGTCTCCCGGAGCGTCCGCGCTGCTTCAGTTTGTGGATGATGACGGAGTTGGTGGCCAGGAAGATGCTGCAGGGCAGGAAGTAGATGGTGACGCAGTGCATCCATTTGAGCACCCTGTCCAGTGTGGTGGGTGGATCGGCGTCACGCCAGGCGTCCAGCCACCAGTAGAAGGGGATGCCAGTGGCCAGAGCCACGGCAAAGACGGCGGCGATGATCCTGCGGGTGCGGCGGGGGTAGGAGACGGCGCGGTACCGCAGCGGGTGGCACAGGGCCACGTAGCGATCCACAGTGAGCAGGACGGTGACCCAGATGGAGGCGTGGTTGGCTGTGAACTCCAAAACGTTGACGATGTGGATGAAGGCGCGAGGCACCGCCCGCGCCAGGATGGCCGTCTGCAGAATGAAGCCCACGAAGATGATGAAGACTTGGGTGAGGATGTCGGAGGTGGTGAGGGCCAGCAGGTACCAGTATGATGACTTCTTGGTCCTCGTGGCCAGGCGGGACAGGGCCACGGCTGTCAGGACGTTCACTGGAGGGAGGGGAGCGGTGCCAGATGGGCGCTCAGACCCCGGGCTCACAGCCCCCCGGTGCCACGCTCAGCTCCACAGTGCCTGGTGGGGTGCAAGGGGGGGGCTGGGGAACTATAAATATCGTGGTGCCATGGTGCCATGCAGAGCTGATTAATCCCCTCCATGTGTCAGCCCCAGCAATGGAAGTACCGTCTGTCCCCTCTGCCGTGGCACCCACCAGTGGGGCTGGGGTTACACCGAGGCGAGTGGCACTGCGGGGAGCATGGAGACCCCATACCCCAAAATCTGTGGGGTCAGGCGGGAGCTGCAGCTCTGCCCCTTTAACCCTGGCAGCCCCCAACACCTCACCTGGCAGCCCCAGGCCCAGCAGGATGCTGTAGTACACAACAGGGAAGATGCCAACCATGCAGGGCGACCGCTCCGGCTCCGGCCATGTCACCGCCGTGCTGTTGGGCACCGGGACCATCGCCCTCCACCACGCGTCGGCTGCGGGGGAACACGGGGAGACTCAGGGAGGTGAGGGCACCGCCGGCCGGGGCATGGCATGGGGACACCGGGGTGGCTCAGCTCGCCCGATGCCTGATGGCGCGTTTTAGAGCTGTAGGACACGGCGCTCTCGGGGACATCAGCGTGGTTCTGCTGCCGGATGTGATCGTTGTTTATCTCCCCTGGCCCCGTTTTATCGACTCGAAGAAAGCTGGCTTAAAACAAGATGTCCTTGGGCGGCTGCCGCGGAGATGCGGGGCCGGGAGATGGCGGTGCCCGGGGTGACCCCGCAAAGCCCCGTGCGGGATGCGGCCCCGCGCCCGACCCCATTCACAAACCCCCGCCCCGCGCCCCGCGCTCCTATTGGCCCCAGGGCGCGAGGCTGCGGCCAATCAGAGAGGCCTCCTCCGAGATCGGGGGACCGCCACACCCGAGCGCTGCGTTATGATTGGTTAGAATGGTCCCAAATTAGCATTTCCCGCGGGAAGCTGGGTCCTAGTGCCCGGGCGGCGGCGGGGGTCGGGGGGCGGTTTGGAGCCTTGGGGTCCTGAGAACGGGAGGGCCGTGTCCCAGCCCGACCCCTCATGCTGGCCCCATTCCGTCCCTCCGTGGCCTCTATGCCGCCCTGGCTCAGCTCAGCCCCCGCTGCTCAGCTCCCTGTACGTTCTCCTCTGCCCCCCCGCCCACTGAGGGGGTCCAGGCCCTCAGTGACCCCCAGCTGCCGAGCTCGGCCAAGCCCCGACGGCTCCGGGACCAACGGAGCATCGCGACCCCCGCGCCAAGCTCCGCCCGGGCTCCCGCTCAGCGCCTGCCCCCAGCCCCCCGCAATGCCTGGGGTTGGACCGGGAGGGGGCAATAGGGGGGTCCCCATACTTCCATCCCTGCGAGCCTTGGGGGCTTGGCCTTGGCCCCTTTTTCCAGCATCGACCCGAGCAGACCCCCAACCCCCGGGGCTGTGTGGGAGAGGAGAGTGATGCTAATTAACTGAAAATTAGATCCGGCTAATCAGCGAGCCCAGTCTCTTTGTGCCCCCCGGGAAACGGGCATCGATCGGCTGCGGCAGGATCGTATTAACCCTTCCCTAGCCCTGAGCCCTTCACTCTGCAGAAAGGCGCTGTGCCTGCTGGCAGGGGTCCTGTCCGGGTCCTTCGCTCCCCTCCTCTACCCGAGGTCCCACTCCTGTGCCCGGTGGGTTCTCACCTTGGTGGCTTTCGTGCCACCCTCTTGGCGTGCGGTGCCACCTTCAGTGCGTGTCTGTTCCCGCTGGTGGCCGCAGCATGGCACAGCCCCTGGGGTGCGTGGAGACGCGGGGCGGAGGGAGAGCGGCGTGGGCAGAGCCGCGGGATGGGATGGCCCCGAGCTTCGCTGCTGCCCCCGAGCTGCGGATGGGGGCCCCTGGGGAGGCTGAGCTTCGGGGATAGAGCTCATCCCCACCCATGACAGGGACGGTGCTCTGGGTGCAGCATTGCTCCCGTGTCACCGTGCAGGTGCACAGTGTTTTGCTCACCTGGAGGCTCAGGGGAACACAGGAGCTGACACTTTGCTGTCCCTCCCGCAGCACAGGCTCCTTCCTTGCCTCCAGGACAGATGGACACAACCTCACTCCTGAGCCAGGTCTGGGTTTATCTGAGTGTGTATGTGCGTGTGTGTGCATTCACACGTGTGTGTCCATGCCATGTGTGTACTACTCCAGTCCCCTCGTGTGGAGGCCATGCTGCAGGGAAAGTCTGTTTGTGCCTCGGTTTCCCCAGCAGCACAGGGATGTAGGAGCTGCTGGTGGGGACATTGATGTCCCCTGCTTGCATGAGCTGCCTGGCACATGTCTGCAGTTCACGGAGCCAGTGCAGCACCTTCTCCATCCCATGAGGTTTAGGGGCTGAACACGACACTGCCAGCACTGTCCCCATGGTCCCCACATCCCTCAACCTTGCAGCCTGAGCTGCCCTGCCCTGTGTCCAACTGAAGGGTGACAGCTCCTGGCCGGGCACAGTGGGGGACCCTGCAGGATGGAGCCATGCTGGCACAGTGCCGCCAGGCACACGCTCCAGGCAAGCTGTTGTTTTGCAGGCGGGTGGTTAAATGAGGCAGCAGCAGATGTGGTGAGCCATTAACAGGCTGTGCCGCTGCGGGGCCCCTTGGCCCACCTGGCCCTCGCTCCCCGTTGCAGCAGGAAAGTGCACCCACACTGTTTGCTCTGTTTGTGCTGTGCCTTGAGTCACCTGCCTTGCCGGGCTGCAGAGCTGTGGGTTGGGCACATCTGAGGGGCCAGGTGCTCTGTACCCCTGTCCCCTTCTGTCCCTGCTGCCCCCATGAGGGGCTGGGGGGGCTGGGAGAGCAGCACGCAGCTGATGGGCAGCTCATCTTCCATCCCACCTCAGTGGAGCAGAGCCAGATGGGCGGCCTACCCTTGAGCTGCAGCCACATCTGCCTCCACTCAACATCTGGAGACCCCATTTAATCCCACACTCCTCCTTCACCCCCCTGCACCAGGCTGTGCTCGAGGATCGAGCTCCTTATCCCCCATCCCCATCCTCCTCCAGACACTCTGGATTTGGCCCCTGTCCTCAAGTGCCCTCCCCGGCATGAGAACAGCCCCGGCTGTGGTGGCACCGTGCCGGGGCCGGGCGCTCTGACGCAAAAGGGGCAGATGGGCTGAGCACCCCCTGCTTGGCTACAGCCTCCCTACCCTGCGGAGAGTCCCGGCCAACGCCGCAGCCATGCTGCCCTGCTGCATGCACTCCTGGCCTTTGTGCCCATGCACTCCTTGTGCTCACAGCATCCTTCTTGCACTGAGCTGCCGGGTGCCGCGCTGCCAGCAGCGGGGCGGGGAGCGAGCGTGAAATGCTCGGCAGCCTCGTTGAGTTTGCGCTTCACTTAGCAGCTTAACACCAAAGCTGCAATAACGCCGACGCCAGCACTAATCCCATCAGCTCAGACAGCTACTCGATAACAGGGAACTGGCTAATATTCCCCTGTGTGGCTCCAGCCCGAGCCACTGCCACACGCTGAAGGTCACAGCATCGTTCGGTGGTGTCTCCTGGAGAGGTGGCCCAGGTGCCTCACAGACGGACTGAAATCCCATTCCTATCTCATTCTATCTTCCCACCCCCACCCCCATGCCCATCTTCATCTCATTTCTGGTGCCCCGTGCCATTGCAAAGCCCTGCACGAGCCGTCGGGGTGGGCGAGGGGCCAGCGAGGGCCGGCACCGGGCACTCGTGCAGCACACGCAGTGTCTTGGCTGCAAAGGCTGGGAAAAGGGCAGGCAGTTCCTGCCGGCAGCCCGATGCCATGGTGATGGGAGGGCGAGGGCTGCCGCCTCCATGAATACCCATGAGCTGGGGGAGCCGGGAGGCTGCACGCACTGTGCCCTGAATGCAAAAGCCCCATTGCGTCCCCGCAGCACAAAGAGCTGTGGCTGCGCACGGGACCGGCGCCGTCCGACGGCGGTGAGCGGCAATGATCCCACGTTATGCTCGGGGCTCGCTGGAGCACGACGCCCTGGGATGTGGGGCTGGGGGCCGGGGTGGGATGGATCGGGGCTGGAAGCCGTTCCCTTGGTAACGGCGGGTCCCAGTTTCCACCAATCGATGTGGCGGTGCGGGCTGGGGGGGCTCGTGGCCTACATAAGCGCCCGTCGGGCACCGCGCGCCCCGGCAGATGCGAAACGATGGCGAGGCTGACGGGCACCCGGCCCCCAGCTGCCCGCCGCTGGGGCTGCGCTGCCACCGCTTTCCTCCTCCTCCTCCTCACCGTGCAGGCTGGTAAGGGCGGCGGTGGTGGGGGGAGGCATGGAGGGGTCCCTGGGTCCCCCAACTCTTTGTGCCGTGGCGGTGATTTAGGGCTGAGTGCGGCTCTCCGGCAGACCTTGTGCTGTGGGGGGGGGTGGATGTGGCTCCTGGGTGTGCTGTGCCCCTCGGGGAGGTCCGGCTGCCCAGCGCAGGGCTCGGCACTGTGAGCACTGTGGGACGAGGGACCGCGATTGCCTCCTGATCCCTGCTCAGCTGGGCTTAAGCCGGCACTGGGATGGGTAATCTGTGAGATTGCCAGCCGGCCAGAAGCAGATTGGAGAGATGGAGCCAAATTCATCAAGATGAGCTGGGGAGGAAGCGGGAGGTGTGCCAAGCATGTGGGAGGCTGAGGAGCAGGAGGAAGGCTCCCTGTACCCACAGGAACAGAGCTCCTTGCAACACTCTCCCTGTGCACGGGAGGTGTGGATTCATGGCACAAGGAGGAGGCAGGGATCACGCTGGGAGCAGGCACAGTATGCTGCCATCCTAGCAGCACCCACTACTGCAGTGGGGCCACTGGTAGCTCAGCCTGCAGGGAGTCCCAAAACCTGCCTCGTATACCCCCCCATGTCGGCCCACTTGGGAGGGCTGGTGTCTGGGGCAAGTTCTCAAGGCACGCTCTGCCCTCATGGGGACAGGAGAGAGCTGGCAGCCCGGGCTGTGTGCCAGCGTGCCAGGCACAGGGCCATTTCCCAGCACGTCCCAGCTTGGTACATGGTGGTCTCAATCCTGCTGCAGAAAGGCAACTTGTTGGCTCCCAAAAAGACAGCTGTCCCTATGTCCCCTTGTCCTCCCACATACCCTTGGCAGCAACCAACCCTTTGGCACTGTGGGGAGCAAAGGGAGGATGCACACAAAGCAAAGCTTCCCCAGCACCCTGTTAGCCAGGGTCTCTTGTGCCTGGTGCTGGGGCACAGCAGTGGGACAGTAACACCTCCCCACAGCTCAGAAAGCTGACCTTGGCGGCGATGCCACTGCAGCCACCATCAACCACTCACTGACGCTGCTGCAGAGGCTGCAGGAGCTGCTGCAGAACGGCAACAGCAGCGACTCGGTGCTGCGGGTGCGCACGGCCGCCTCTGATGAGGCCAAAGTCTTCCACACCCACCAGCTGCTGCTCAGCCTCCAGAGCGAGGTCTTCGAGGGGCTCCTGCGCAATCAGAGTGTTGTCACCCTGTATGAGCCGCCTGAAACTGCCGCGCTCTTCGAGAAGTTCATCAGGTGCGTGGGGAGCCCAAGGGATGGGGATGCCCATGGGAGGGGTGCTGTCAAGGAGGAAGGCGTTCCCATGGGGACAGTGGGAACTCCAGGGGAAAGGGATGCCCAGAGGGATGCTCCCTTCAGTTCCACAAGGACCCAGTGGGAAGGGGACAGCAGGAGGGATGGAGCCAACTGGGTAGGGTGTCCCCTCATGGACCCTGCAGGATGGGGATGCTGGGAGGGCTGAAGCCAAGGAAGGTTGTCCTCTTAGGGGCCCTATGGGATGGGAAGGATGCAGCCAAGGAAGGAGGATGCTCTCTCAGGGACACGAGTGGGTTGGGAATAGAGACAGAGAACAGCAGTGTCACCATCCCACGCTCCACTCCAGGTACCTGTACTGCGGAGGGGTTTCCCTCCTACTGCACCAAGCCATCCCCCTCCACCAGCTGGCCAGCAAGTACCGGGTGTGGGGGCTGCAGCGTGGCGTGGCCGACTACATGAGGAGCCACCTGGCCAGCGAGTCGAGCCAGGGCCACGTGGTGGGCTGGTACCACTATGCTGCACGCATCGGGGACACGGCGCTGCAGGAGAGCTGCCTGCAGTTCCTGGCCTGGAACCTGTCGTCCGTGCTCGGCAGCGCCGAGTGGGCTTCGGTCAGCGTGGAGCTGCTGCTGCTGCTGCTGGAGCGCTCCGACCTGGTGCTGCACAGCGAGCTGGAGCTCTACACCGCTGTGGAGGCCTGGCTGGCCCGGCGGCAGCCCGAGGACGCTGTGGCTGAGCGGGTGCTGCGTGCCATCCGTTACCCCATGATCGCGCCCAGCCAGCTGTTCCGGCTGCAGACGCAGTCGGCGGTGCTGGTGCGGCACTACAGCGCGGTGCAGGACCTGCTCTTCCAGGCCTTCCAGTTCCACGCCGCGTCCCCTCTGCACTTTGCCAAGTACTTTGACGTCAACTGCAGCATGTTTCTGCCCCGCAACTACCTCGCACCCAGCTGGGGCTCCCAGTGGGTCATCAACAACCCGGCACGGGATGACCGCAGCACCAGCTTCCAGACCCAGCTTGGGCCCAGCAGCCACGACTCCGGCAAGCGGGTGACCTGGAACGTGCTCTTCTCTCCACGCTGGCTGCCCGTCAGCCTGCGCCCCGTCTACTCGGACTCGGTGTCCAGCGCCATCCAACCGGTGCGCATCGAGGACGGCCGCCCGCGCCTCGTTGTCACCCCGGCCACCAGCAGCCCCGACTTCGCTGGTGTCAGCTTCCAGAAGACGGTGCTGGTGGGTGTGCGGCAGCAGGGCCGCATCTTTGTCAAGCATGCCTACAGCTTCCACCAGAGCTCGGATGAGACGGCTGACTTCCTTGCCCATGCCGACCTGCAGAAGCGCACCTCCGAGTACCTCATCGACAACGCCCTGCACCTGCACATCATCATCAAGCCTGTCTACCACTCCCTCATCAAGGTGAAGAAGTAGTGGGGCTGTGGGCATGGGGCTCTGCCTCTTTGTCCCCTCTCTGTAGGTAGAAGGGGGCTCCTCTGCTGCCTGCCTCTTCCTGCTGTCCCCCATGCCATCCCTGGGTGCCTGCAGAGAGCACAGCGAATGTGCAACCGTGTGGCGTGGGGACGCAGGGACGGCCCCTGCAGTGCTACCTCTGCACTGACATGGCTGCAGCTTGGGGTGTGTTGGGATGGGGGTCCAGCTGCCTCCCCCAGCAGAGGACACTTGTGGAGCGCAGCGCCTTGTTCCTGCCTGGGTTTCTTTCACCTCCTTCCTAATAAAAGCAGAAAATGAGTGCGGGGAGTGCGGGGCATCTTTGGGTATCCCCTGTGCCTTGGGATGGATGGGCACAGGGACGCATCAGCTGTCACACCACTCCCAATCTTCATGTGCCTCCTTTTAATGCTCCAAAAGGATAAACCTCAGCTCCTGTGCCGCTCTGCTGAGCCACGGAGGTGCTGAGCAGCAGCACAGTCACTGCCCAGCACAGCTGCGTGTGTCCCACGGGGAGGTTTGGTCAACCGGCCCCAGCAGGGCTGGCACTGTGGGCTACGTGAGGCGCTGAGCTGGGCAGGATGGGTGCTCAGCCCACTGCTTGGCACGGGGATGGCTGTGCTTCAGCAGGGAGCTCGGCTCAGCACTGGGGGTTCCACCTGTCCTTGCTGGAGGTCCTTGGGCCGATGGCCACGACGCAGCTGAGCGGTGGGTGCTGGCCCTGCCTGCAGCGGGGGAGATGGACAGCAACGTGTCTCCCGGTGCGCTCATCAGGGTGCGGTGCTGCTGCCACCTACCCCGTGGTTGGCGACCTCGAAAGGCAGCAGCTGCTTCTTTCTCCTTTTGGCATCCAGCGGCTCTTCCCTCTCCTCCAGCTTTTTGCACGCTCACAGTCAGGCGCGTGGGGAGGAGTCGGGCTGCACGGCCCCCAGGAGGGTGGCTGCTCCCTCCAGGCTGTCCCTGCTGGCAACATGCCTCAGTTCGGGGGCATGTGGCACGCGGGACTGACACGGCTTGGCCGTGCCCACGGTGATTTTGGCGCTGCTCAGTGTCTCCTCCACGGCGCGGCAGCTCCGTCACCGCAGCACAGCCACTCGCCTGAGCCTGGTCCTGTGGGTGTGCTGTGCTCACCTCTGCGGCGCGGGGAGCCCGGTGCTGGTTGAAGGGTTGCACGGCAGTGGCTGGGAAGTGCCGAGAGCCACCCTGGAGCAGGGAGTGGGAGCGCAGCTCTGCGTTGTGCAGCTGCAGCTGGTGCAGGCGGCACAGCAGGGCCAGCAGCTCCTGCTGCTGCACAGAGCTGCTCCTGCGCTGCACAGCTTCCTCCAGCCGCCGGGTGTGCTGCTGGCTCTGCTGGAAGCGCCGCTCCAGCTCTGCCTGTGGGCACATCCCGGCGTCATCCCCCTTCCCAGGGGTCAGCATCCCTGCTAGCGGGCCACCAACCTGTCTGGCCCTTTGCCCTCTGCATGCACCCCAGTCCTCCGGGGTGAGTGGTGCTGCTAGGCAGGGACTCAAGCTCAGCTCCCTGCAGATGTGGGGTTGAGCTGTGGATGCTGCATTTGGGGCTCCCGCACCTTCTGCTCCTGGAGTCTGCCCTGCTTCTCCACCAGTGCCATGAAGCTCTCCCGTGCTGCGATCACGCTGGCTGGTTCTGGCACATCCGTGTCCATGTTCCTCCTGCTCTCACTGGGCCCTCCTGGCTTCCCTTGCCCCTCCTTGCCCCAGCGCCATGCTCTCCTCTTCCAGCTGGAGGAGACATTTTGGGGTCTCAGTGACACAGCCTAGCTCTCTGGGGACCCCACCTGCACCCACATACCGAGTGAGTATGCGGAGGTGCCGGGCAGCTGCCAGCCGGGTGTGCAGTGCTGTGCCCTCCAGCTGAACCAGGTGCTGGCACAGGGCCGCCTGCTCACGGCAGGCATTGAGCAGCTTGTCCCGCAGCTGGACCTGGGCTGGGAATATGGGTGTCAGCACCAAGCCCTGCAGCTCTGAGGCAGCACAGTGGGGTCAGGCATACCCTGGGTGTAGTGGATGGCACGGTGCTTGCCTGGCCCTGTTGCGGTGTACAGCTGGTGCTTGAGGTGCTGGATGTCCCCACGCAGGTTGGCCACAATTCTGCCATGGGGTGAGCTGCTGAGCAGGTTGTGCTTCACCTGAAATGGGCACAGTGTGAGCATCTCACTGCTGCAGCACAGCACATCCCCAGCCCTGGTCCCTGAGCACTGTGTGGCTGCGCAGCAGGGACCGGCTCTTATGCCCTCCCTGCTGGGGACCAGAGCTGCACAGGGAGGGGACAGGAGGGTGCCAGCAGGAGGCGGGGTGGTGTCCACCCTCCCGGTCCCACCGTGGGGCGGATGCTTTTGGCGCGCTGGGCGTAGCTGAGCGTGCTGCGGGACTCCTCAAAGGCAGTGCTGGCTGGGCTGATGTGGGCGATCATCACAGTGTGGCTGTTACCCCCGAGCGAGTCCTGGGCAGCAAAGCACACAGCTGAGTGGGGCAGGGGGAGCAGCCCGTGCCCCCCGACACCATCGCACCTTCAGCAGTCGGGTCAGCTTGCTGTCACGGTAGTTGACGTGCGCGCTGCCCGCCGGCTTGCTCAGCGCCTTGATGCAGTTGCCCAGAGCCAGCAGTGACCTGTTGATGTGCGCTCCCTCCTTCATCCTCTGCCCACGGTTCCGTGTCTGGGCAGTGAAGTGAAGGCAAAAAATGTGGTAGCAATAAAAAGGGGCCAGGGGTTTCCCAGGGGTGCATGCCGTACCCAAGCCGCCCGCTCGGAGCCTGCCAGGTCGATCAGTTGGAGCCGCCCGCAGCGCAGTCCCCGTCCCCGCGCGCTGACCTGCAGCACGGCGTGGGAGCGTGACGACGTGTGGTTGGCAGCTGTGGGCTCTTGTGTCCGCTGCTGATTCCCCCTCAGCAGCAGCCGTAGGACCTGCAGAGGACAGGCTGTGCTGGGTAAGGGGCTCGCCGCTCCCCGCTGCCCCATCTCCTGTCCCACCTCCTCGGTGCTGCTGGCTGACAGCTCGGTGATGCCGACCACTCGGACGGTGCCACGGGAATCCTCCCACAGCTGCAGGGAGTGCGGTGAGGGGCTCAGCAGGTCCCGAATCACCTCATTGTAGATCTGGGGGGAGATCTCCATTGTAGATCGAAGGGGGGAGCTGGGAACATCCCACGTGGCATGGGCACCCATAGGGGACACGGCCCTGCAGCACAGCGATACCCCGGCTGTGTGCCACTCGCTGCTCCCTGCCTGCCCTGGAGATGGAACATCCCAGCTTTCCCATGCACCTCTAGGTAGGACATGGAGACCTCATGCTCTGCATCACTGCTGCACTCCTCGATGGCATGGAAGAGGTCACCCAGAGCGCGGGCACAGATGCCAGGCTCGCTGTTGGTGCCGAGCATGGTGTAGGTCTTCCCGCAGCCTAGGGGAGAGGGGATGGCTCATCTGGGGCTGGGACTCTCTCTGCAGCCCCTGCCGTATTGAGCCCATCCCTGAGCCCCTCACCGGTGGGGCCATAGGCAAAGATGGTGGCATTGCAGCCGGAGATGACACTCGCAATGAGGCCTCTGGTGGTGGCACGGTACACGGTCTCCTGTGAGAGGGTGAATGTCCAGGGCACATCCCAGTGCCTCCATGCCAGTTGGCTGTCCCACACCATGCTCCTACCCCACGTCCCCACACCCTGCCCATCCCATGGACCCACCTGGGTGGATGTGGAGTCAAAGGCTGCATCAAAGACGTAGGATTTCTCCCGGGAGCGGCTGGCATGCAGGACGTTATCAGAGTTCTGCATGGGGTCTCGCAGCACCACAACCTGTTGGCGGACACAAATGGGGCTGCCTAGGGCACCTGTCACCCCCATGCTCCTGGGGTCACCTCCAGCCTCCCTTCTGCCAGTGTTCCCTCCAGGCCAGGGCCCTTTATGTTCCTGTATCATCCCATTGTCCCCAGGCAGCAGCTGGGGCTCAAAGCTGCTTTGTGTGCAGTGCCAAGGGGACCTGCTCAGCCGGCTGCTCCACTGCCCGCTGGCACAAAAGCACCTCTGTGAGTACAGCCCAGCAAGGTGCCCGCAGCTGCACACCTCCAGCTGGTTTGCAATGCAGTCACACTCTAGGGATGCTGTTTGTACCCCTGCACCAACTCCAGACCCCTGCTTGTGGGTGATGCCAGGACAGAGGGGGCCCAGTGCTGACCCCATTGCAACTGCCAGCATCCCTGGTGTCTCTCAGTGCAATGCAGATTTCAACCTCTGTGGCAAAGCCAGTCTCATGGCTGCCCAACTCTCCCTCCTCACACAGCCTCCAGGCCTCCCCTGTAACCTGAGTTGGGGATGGGGAGAGGGGTCCCACAGCCCTGCAGGACGGGCTTCTCCTGACCCAGTAAATTCTTGCTGGACTCCCATCCTGGTGCTTTGTTATTGTAGGATCTCTGCAAGGAATGTAAGGCTGCAGGTGCACTCCATCCTGTTTTGTGCACACATCACACGTGTGTGCATCGCATGCAGCACCAGGTGCACCCAGGCACATCCAGAATACACGGAGGATCCCACCTTGTCCAGTGTACCTGATCCCCCTGTCCCCTGCCTTGGGTCCCCATCCCACAGCTGTACCTGCTCATCCAGGCGGTGGGCAATGGGCCTGGCACCCCTCTGCAGTTCAGCCACACTCATGGGTCGGATGCGAAGAGCCACCTGCAAGACACGGCCAGTGAGTGTGGGGCAGAGAGGACGAGGATGAAGGGACAGCAGAACGGGGACCTGCACGCCGGCCATCGCTGGATGCAGTCTGGCACTGGGCTGGCACAGCCGGCAGCCGATGCAGCCCCCGGGACCCCCCCACGCTGCAATTAGAGGCTCATTTTGCTGGGAAGAAAGCGAACACTGCTGGGATTGGCTTAAAGGGGCAGCTGGGCAGTGAGCCCTCCTGCTGGCACCGGCCCCTCGCTGCCTTGGGGACAGGTGGCACGGGGGGGGGGAGCGCAGAGCTGCGTCCTGCTCAGGCTCCTGGAAACGCTGTCACAGTATTGATGTAATTAGTGCTGGCACTTAATGAGGCGCTTGGCCAAATCGCAAGGCTGGCACTGGGCTTCCTGTGTGCTTTGGGGTAGGAGCCGCACCTGACGGCTGCACCTGAGCTTGGGTTGCACTGACTGGGTGATGCCTCGCTGCGTCCTCCCGTTCACAGTCAGCAAACTGCCACTGGTTTTCAAGGGCTCTGCTGACCCCAAAGCTGGCTGTGCTGGATCAGCAGCAGCGTTCTGCTTGAGGGCAACAAACCTTGTGCCCCCACCCCATGGCAGCAGGCATCCTGGATAGCAGGTGACACTCACTGGCTTTGTAGTGGGGCTGGGAAGGGGTCCTGCTTCCAGGCTCACCCCCAGCCCCACTGCACAGATGCCGTCCCCCCCAGCAGCCCCATCCCCCTGTCACCAGCTGTGCTGCGGGGTGAACACAACAGGCAGCTCATTAATAATTGAGCGGTGGATAAGCCGGCAGTTGGGCTGCACTGCGATAACAGCAGGGCTGTGTTTACCCAGAGCTGATAACCCCGGCCCTGGCTCTGCAGGCAAGGGTGGGGGGAAGTAATGGGCTGGGCGAGGGGGGCTTTGCCCACACCAGGATCCCAAGATGGACCATAGGGCACCAGCTGCTGTTGCACCATGGTTGGTGGTTGGCTTTGCACCGTGGCCTGGTCCCAGGAGGGAGATGGAAGGGAGAAAGGACGTGACCTTCCCACTCTCTGCTCAACCCCGCCGTGACAAAACAGGAAGCGTGGTGTGGGAAGCTCCTGTTTATTCACACTACAGAAAAATCAGGAGGGCAAAGGGCCAGGGAGCATCTGTGAATGGCTTCACAGATTCTGTGCAATCTACTGGTCCCGTCCGCTACGGTTCCTGTGGAGAGAGCAGACACAGCGTCTGGGGCTGCCCCACGGAGGCAGAGAGCCCAGGAACCCAGGAAGGGGGCTCATCCCTGCACCAACCCCCGAGCAGCCACCCCAGCAGGGAGGGGGAGAGCAACACGGGGATGGTTCGAGTTGACCTTGGCAGCGTCCTTTTCCTCGTCCTCTTCCTCGTACTTGAGCAGCTCGCCTTCCTCCCCCTGAGCCGCCAGCTCCTCCTCTGTGTGTTCTTTAACCTGAAAGGCAGAGGTTGATCAGTGTCCCCTGCAGAACTCCACTGATCCCCGCCACGCAGGGCTGGGGATGCTCACAGCTGCTGGTCCCAGTACCTTGCTGCTGCCTGGCTGCTGGGCCTCCGCCCGCGCCCTCCTCTGCAGCTCTGCTTCAATGACCTCGAAGAATTCCTTCTGGGCACGGTCGAGTGCGTCCTGGGGACTCTCCTCCAGCATCTCCTCTGCCTCCAAGCCCTGACCCTCCGACCTGGCACGTTCCTTCAGCCTCATCTCCCGGTGCCGGGCTTCCAGAATCTTCTCCCTCTTGGTCTCCCGCTCGAACATCTAGGGCAGAGAGGGGCTGAGGGGAGCAGAGGACCCCATGGGGACAGCTACATGCTGGCTGCACTAAGGGCTTTGCTTGCACAGGCATCCGGCTGCTTGCCACCTGGAGCACACATACCGCATTGGCCAGGTTCTTCTCGTTCCTCTGCAGGGTGCAGAGCCCAGAGGAGATTTTCAGCAGGGTGATGGTGCCCAGCTTTGAGCCGCAGCCCAGAATGCAGCCGTTGTCCTGCAAGCGCAGGCTGGAGAGGGGCTCATCACAGATCTGGGGAGGGAGGATGGATGGATGTCAGTGCTTAGCCCTTATCTGGTGCCTCTAGGGAAGCCAGGCAGGATGAGCTGGCAGAGAGAAACCCATGTGTGCGCCAGCAATGGGAGCCTACGTGTGAATCTGGGGACTTGAAGGCTGCTGCTTGACAGAGCAGATCCAGAGCTCTGTACAGAGAGACCCATGAGCTCCTCCATCCCCTGGCCCCGTCCCCAGGTGCTCCTCACTCTGTGCCTTGGGGCTGGTGTTACTGCTGACCAGGGCAGCCCCCATTTCCCCCAGAGCGAGAGAACAGGAGCAGTGGTGAGCTGACCTTCAGGCTGAGGGATGGGTTGTTCTGTTTGAAGAGGAAGTCCCAGATGTCCAGTGTCCCATCCATTTTGGTCGTGAAGAAGACAGACGGCCTCACGGTGCTCCAGCAGCCATCCGTCAGGTAGGAGAGGTGGTACCTGCCCGCAGACCCCACGCTCGCTGCCAGTTACTCTGCCACAGAGCAGGAGGGTTTTTTGCAGGGCCAACCTACGCACGCTGACACCTACCTGGTCCACATAATTGATGATTCCTTTGTCTCCTCCGACCAGATCCGAGCAGTCCAGTCACCAACCGTCAGGAAGATTTTGGGGAAGAAAGGGTTCCTGGCCAGCGCGTAGACAGGCCCGTGGTGGCCGCTGTAGGTGCTGGCGATTTTCTCGGGGGGCGTCTTGGCTTTGCGGTTGCAGGCGATGACGATGCCCTGCTCCGTGCCCACCATGAACTTGGTAGGCTGAGGGTGGGAGCAGGAGAGCAGCTGTCAGCAGGATGGGACCCCGTGGTGTGGGGGACGGCTGCTCAGTGAGGGGCTTTGCAGTGTGACGAGGGGAGCCGGCTGCAGCCAGCAATGGGCAGAATGGAGCCCTGGGACGCACTGTGATCAGGGGGCTTCAGAAGCTGAGCTGCCAGCGTGGCCCCATACTTTAGGAGCACACCAGCTTCTGACAGATAAAGGTGGGTGAGAACATGCTGCAACGCTGTGCTCCAGGCACTGGCACTGCTTGCCCTGCTCAGGTTTGCCCAACTCACACACCTGCCACGCTTAGGACACCATTTGTGTGCAGGAAGCTCACCAAGGTGGGCTCAAATTCCAGCGTGCTGGCACCCAGAGCATTTTCCAGCAGCTCCCTGCGTGTGATGTCCAAGACCAGTGCCTCAGTGGGCTCGGATAGCTTGCGGATGTCCCACCACAGGACCTGCGGGGGAAGGATACTTCAGGGCAGGGGCTGCTCTCAGCCATCAGTGCTGGGAAGCCAAGCAGCCTGGAGCTGGGCAGCTGCCTTGTGCCAAAGCATGCTGGGCTGCAGGTGCCTGCCAGCAGTGACTGTACGAGCACCCAGCCCTTTCCCTGTCCCTGCCATTTACCTGCCCATCAGTGGAGGCTGAGAAGCATTCAGTGCCAGTTTTAGACTGCAGCCAGATCGCACCATACACAGGGTCTCTGTGGCTGGCCTCTACGGTGGACACCTCCACAGGCAGCCCCCCCTTCCTGGTATCCCAGTAAGCTGTGAAAGAAAAGGAGCTGTCAAGATATTCTCCAGCTGCCTTGCCCAGCTCCTTGAAACCAGGCAAGGGCCCTGAGGCTGGGATCCTGCTACTGTGATCGCACGTGGAGTTGCCCATCCTGAAGGGATGAACAATTTGTGCTTTCTGCAAACACGAAGCTAGATGGTGGGAACAGGAAATAGCCCCAGTACTTTCAGCAATCATTTCTGTGGCAACTGCACTGCAATCCCGAGAGGCAATTCATCCCCCCAGCTCCTCTCCTGCTCTGCAGAAAAGGTTGCAGCAGGACCAGATGTGGTCTTAACGCCCCCAACAGCAGTTCTTGTGCTCAGTGCCGCTCAAAACCATCCTATCTGACCTGACCCTGGCTGCTCTCTCCTCCCACGTGCCTTAAGGGCAGCGACTAACAAAGGCAGGTCCCAGGGACAGCAGCAGCTATCCATCCCTATCTGCCTCTGACAGGCAGCAGAGGACAGGTCATGGCGCAGGTTGGGCAGCTGGGCCCTGGTGGCACTGAGCCACACTCGCTCCCTCTCGCTTGCTTCTAATCAGGCAATTGGATGTGATGGCGCACGCCCTGCTGGGCCGGTGCCACACGCCTGGGGAGCTGTGCAGGACGTGCTGAAATCCCCCCTCCATCACCTGCGGAGCGTGCAGGAACAGCTCTGTGATGCCTGCCCTGTCAGATCTGATTGCTGCTGCAAATGGCAAGGAAAACATCAAAATGAGAGCAATTAAACCAAAGGGCTTGCGCAGCCAAGTAAATAACAGCCATAAAACGAAGCTAGCAAAGAGGGGCCCTTTACCAGGCACGTGAAACAACAGCACAAAAACAATTCATTGAATTAAGCGATGGCAACTCTTCTGGGCTTTTGCCACATAAAAAGATGTGGCTGTGGGTGAGGCAGGAGTGCAGCACGTGTAACTGCTCGGTGCTCTGACCCAGCAGCACCTGCCACGCTCTGGCTGAGCACCCCAAGTGCCTGCGACGTGCAGGGTAACAGGGCAGGTTCTGAGCAGCCCCGAGAGGAGCAGGGTGTGGTAGTGTTGGAACCAAGCTCTTGTTGAATTTAAACAAAGCCAGACCCTCCTTATTGTGGCTTCATGCATAACCCATCTTCCTTACCCATCTGTCCATTGTAGCATCCCCCCACCAGGATGTGAGAGTCTTTGGGGTTGTACTCCAGGCTCACAAGAGGGGATGATGGCTTGAGAACCAGCTCCGGCTTGTTGGGATTTTCTGCCAAGAAGGAATGAGTAAAGAGTGATGTGCAAAGGCAGCCCAGAGGCACAGCGCCCTGCTTCCAAAGCAGGCTCTCACACCACGTCACAGGGATGGGAGGTGACCTGCCCTTGGCTGTCAGCCCGGGGACGGACCCGTGCTATCCTGACCCGCTTCTTGGTACTTTTCACTCCAAAATGCAGCAGGTTCGAGCCTGACAGAAGAGGGCAGTCCTCAGCCTGGGCTTATGCTGCCTCTTAATCAAGCACAGATGAACCATAGAAACACAAAAACCACATAAGAGACATGTGGCTCAGCTGCCTGTTGTGGTCACAGGCGCTCTGGCTCATGAACTCATGTAGTGGGATTTCAGCACCTGCTGACCAGCTTTCAGGTCCCATTTCTGCCCTGCTTCGCATTGATCTGTGGGCAAAACAGAAACCCAACCCTTGCTCTCCTCCTCTAGAGCCTTGTGGTGCTTTACTACATCTGTGAGATGCTTTGAACGCACAAAGTGCTTCCGCAGTGGCAACATTACTGACAAGCAAGTTTTCTCATCCCCTTACCGAGATCCCAGATGTATGAGTCAAAGCTCATGTCTTCTGCATTCTGCTGGAACTCCAGGCTGGAATAAGCCACTGCCAGCTTCTTGCATCTGTCAGGGTGCCAGGACAGATGGGCGGCTGTCCTCTTTATTACGTTTGGATCCCTTTTGATAGCAGGACATCAAAAAAAGATGTTAGTTTGTTAACAGCTTTGTCACACCCTGGGATGACGGTGGGAATCGCAATTAAAACAAGCTGCAGCCCTTGAGCATTGAGTGCAGGAAATGATTCTCCTGGGGGATGGGTGGGGGAAGAAGAGTTGATGATTTAATAAAGTCTTTCCAGTTATACATCTCTAAGAATCCAATTATGTTACCGGATCTGACTTCTAGAAATGACCTAACAGCCCCTGACATGTGCAAAATAATCTTTGAGGCATTAACAAAAAAAAAAAAAGGATCCTGCCTAGATCAGTGTTAGAAGATGCTCAGAGCTGCGCCTGCCCATGGGCATTGGTGCTTATGTTTGAACTGCCCAGGCAGGACGGGGAGGGGAGGAATTGATGGGTTACAGGGCACGGGGCAGCAGGAGGTCTCCCCATCCACAAACCGTTCTAAAGCCATGGCTTCCCCCTTGCTTGCTCTAGTTTTTAGCAGCCTGTCACAGGGCTGCAGAGCAGGATGAGACTGCGGACAGAGATGGGAACAACTGTGGGTTTTGCAGAGGGGACGGCAGTTCGACCTGATGACGTTGATGGTTTTGGCGGAAGGAGCCTCGTCTTCCAACTCGTCTGCCTCCTCCTCCCTGAAGTACTCCTTGTAGATGTCGATGGCGTTGTTCTGCTTGACGCAGTGCTCCATCAGCTGCGGGCAGAGCAATGTGAGGTCACACTGCCAGCCTGGGGCAGTGGGAGGGCATGGGGACAAGGGACGGGCATGGGGACAAGGGACGGGCGTGGGGACAAGGGACGGGCCCGGCCTCACCGCCCCGAGGTGTGTGATGGTGTTGACGTAGTTCTCCTCTTTCTCCACTTTCTTGCGGAAGCGCGAGGTCTGCTCCAGCTCCTGCGGGTTGATGTCCCTGGGCCAGCCGCCCTCCACGTGGTTCACACCGCGGCTGTCCACCTCCACCCGCTCCGTGTTGGCCTGCAGGGAGCGACAGGCCGCAATTAACGGGAAGTCCGCAGGGCTCACAGCCCGGCTCCACGCGGCCCTGCGGCCCCGCCCTGCCCGCTCACCTCGTGTTCCGACATCTCGCTGCCATGCTGCACGCAGGCGTCCACCGGGTTCCGCAGCACGAAGCTGTCGGCCAGGCTGGGGTCGGGCTGGATGTCCACGCACACCTTGGCGGGGCAGTCGGAGAAGTTGCAGTGGCGGCCGAACTCGCTGCGCTTCCTGGTGTAGACATGGACGATCTCCATGGCGGGCCCGGGCCGACGCCTGGCTCAGCGCGGGCAGACCGGGCCGCGTCCGCCGTTACCCGGCAACGGCGGGCTGGCGTCACGTGATGGCGCCGCCATCTTGGGAAGGGCAAGGCGGGCGTGTCCGCCGCTCGCCGCCATGTTGGGAGGGCAGAACGTGGCTAATTAGGATCAGCTAACACTGGGACCGGCTTTGTAATTAGGAACAGGCTTGGACTTGCGTGTGTGTGTCCAGCCCCAGCAGCCACAGCCTCGCATCCCCTGCTGGTACCCTGACTGCAGGCTACAGCCAGACCCCATCCCAACACAACCCTCCTGCGTGTGGCTGGCAGCCCCTCCTCACACCCATAGCGACCGGGGCTGGGAACCACAGGGCATCCGTGATAGCTGCAGCACCCACAGCGCCCAGTGGAAGAGCAGCAGCATCTCCCAGCTCACACCCAGCGTCCCCCAGGTCACTCTCAGGCTCTGCAGAGTGCAGCCCAAGATGTGACAGGACACTCAGACCCCATCAGCAGCCCCACGTTGCCTCTCACAGCACCCTGGACCCCCCCCAGGATGGACAACTCTGTGCCTCCGGGAGATTGGGACAGCAGGGAGGAGATGGTTTTTAGTACAATAAATGTTTATTGTCTTTGCCCTGAGGGCACATAGAAACGAGGCAGGACCCCCACTCCTCCCAGTGGGAGTCCCAATGAGGTTAGTCCACATGCGCTGGGGAACAGCTCTCCTATGGTACCGTTACATCAAAACGTTAAAAGCCAAAAAAAAAAAACAAAAACAAAACCCAAACCAAAACAAACCATTAAAAACTTTCAGGTTACCAACAGCCAATAATGCTAGTCACGTGTAACAGACAGATGGAGTCAGGGGACAAAGGGATATGTACAGTTATCTTTAAAAGACACAGCGAGTCACTGCTATCAAGTAGTACCCAATGAGGCTCTGCCCAGGGACAGCCCCTGCTCTGCCACTGCACTGTTAGCTCACAGGGAGCTGGCAAAACAGGGAGGGGACAACCAGAACTGCAGCCCAGAGGTCCCAGGGCAGCCCACACCAAAATGAACAACCACAAAGGGCCTCAATCAGCCCACGCTGGCTGCTCCTGGTTCCTTTGCTGCACCCTGGCTTAGCCTGGAGCTCTGGCAATGCGGGCATGGTGGCAGGGATGTGTCCCCTATTGGCACAGCCAGCTCCAGTCCTTAAAGCTCTCCAGGGAATTTGTGGCTACCCCAGAGCTGTCCTGCACGTAACAGGGGAACCTGCCCCAGGGAGCAGGACTGCCAAAAAGAGCCAACAAGCCAACATGCATCGCAGCAAATCCAAGCTGGAACAGAGGTGGCAAGCTGTGCCGCGTCTCTGCCCTTAAGGTAACTTACAAAATGCAAAGCAAAAGAAAGCCAGCAGGGTCAAGACATCCCTATCCCAACCCCTTGGCATAGAGAAGGTGGTGGGGTCACTAGTGGTTGGTACTGCATTGCTACGGGATGAGGGAGCTGCTCTGGGACAACCCCAGTCCCAGGGTGTGCTCCAGTCAAAGGAACCCAGATATGGTCCCTGTCCGTGGCATAAAACCACCCCAAGCAGGTGGAAAGGGAGAGGTGAACAACCTCCAGCCTTCCAGGAGAGCTGCAGTCAGTCCAGGAAAGCATCCCATAAGGCAGAAAGACGTGAGAGTGAGCAGAAGCTGCCAGGGAAGAGAGCGCAGGGAGCATGGATCCCACGGCCGGAGCTCATCTGCAGCCCCTCGCCCACCAAGGGGCTCTGGGTGTCTTTGGTTTCCATCGGGGGATGCCAGTGGCTTTTTCTCCTCCCTCGAGCTGCAGGATGAGCTGCTAGGCTGGGAACTCGGTGTGCTGGGGCCGGAGGTGCTCGTCGGTGACGGACAGGTAGGTGGCTCGCATGCTTGGGGAGTACTGCAGGAGAAGGCAGGGTGAGCACAGCCAGAGCCCCCCAGCAAACACCCACATCCCTCCCAGCCCAGCATCACTGCTAGCAAAGAGAAAGCCTGAGGACGGATGGGAAAATTGCTTCCTATTGGTATTAATCCCCATTAACCTGGGTCTCTCCAGCCTCTGCCCCAGCTGGAAGTTGGGAGAGTCGCCAGACAAAACCTCCAGCTCTGATAATGGAGCACAATTCAATTCCTACAGCACTTTGCTGGAGGGAGGAGCACCCTGACTTGGCATTAAGGAAGATTATTCTGAGTTTGTTATTTCGGACTACAAAAGTCCTTCCTTAGGGATCTGAATCCTGGTTAAATTCAACCACTCAGGGTGGGGAGAAGCGCTCAAATTAATCCCTGTGTTCACCCACCCCCCCAAGAGCAGCCCTCCAGCTGTGAGGGCTGTGCAATCGGATTAAAGCCTCCACGCTTTCACCTGATTGCAAAAACTGTCCGCAGCAGAGGAGAGCATGGGGACCTCAACCATCACAGCAGTGCCACGGCTGCCACCCTGTTCCCATGGCAGCCCCACAGTGGCAGCCCTGCAAGGGGTGAGCTGGGATGGGGAGGAATGAGTCCTTGGGGTGCAGGCATGGAAACAGACAGATACTGTTAGAAGAGGGAGAAAAACAGCACAGAGAAGGGATGGGGATGGAGACCACTTCCAGCCCCCTGACACAGGCAGGCTGCAAACTGAACGTGGCCCTGTCCCTCCCCAGCCCTCCACGCTCTGCCCAGGAGCAAAGAAGCCCCAGAGAAGAAAGGATGGAGGGAGCTACAAGGGTGGAAGTGAGGACAGGAGCTCAGGGACAAGAACTGGGGAGGATGAAGCAACTGAACTTACTCTTGATGGGCAACTTAGCTCCAAAATAATTGATGCAAAACAAAACAAAAAGAAATAAAGTAAAGCGGGCATTAACAGGCAGGGTGGGTTTAAATAAACAGCAGAGGCAGGGGGGAGGGGATGTGAGCATGCATGGATTACTGCACAAAGTGTCCTTTGAAATTCTTGGGATGAGTTAGGAAAAAAAAAAAGAGAAAAGTAAAGCAGACAGAAAGAGAACTATTTTGGTCTCCTCCAAGCACGTGGTTGGTGACCTCTCCCTGTAGCCCTCATGGGCTGGTGAGGAACTGGGTTAGTGAGATGGGGAGCAGCGATCTGCAGGCAGATCCGGCACAAGGGGAGGGAGCCCTGCCCCACTGCACGGCCCCATGGGGGCTCCCAGCACCCAACGCCCACAAGTCACAAGAAGGATTTGGCCTCGGCTGCCCACCGTACCGTGGGAGGGGGGGAGCCCCTGCCGATCAGCGGCACGTTCTCGTAGCGCGGGTTCCCTCCGAAGAGCACCGCTTGGTTCCTGCACGGAGAAAGAGATGCTTAGTGGGGTAAAGCCCCCAGCGCAGCATCCACCGGGTGTGGGGAACCCCTGGGTGGGCTCACATGTACTCAGAGACCGGGGCATTGGAGATGGTCTGTGCCGGGGGGTGCAGGCTGCTCTGGCTGCCCAGGCTGCTGTTGTAGCTGCAGAAGCTGCGGAGCTGGCCCCGCACTGGGTGGTGGGCAGCAATGCGCCGTGCCTGCGGGTTGAAGGGGTCTTCCTCATCGATGTCATCGTAGTCCTGCTCCCTGCAGGGCATCGAGGTGCCTGTTATCATCAGCCCCAGGAGCAAAAAGCAAGGGAGGGGTCCAAGCTGCCCCCACCTGCCTGCCAGGTGCCTCCAGGCACGAGCCGCAGCACAGACCATGGTGGAAAAGGAGGCGGCCACCAGCAGGGAGAAGAGCACCAGGTAGAGCAGCCCCTCCACGCCATCGTAGCAGATGCCAATGAGAGCGTCCAGGTAGTCCTGCAGCAATGGGATGGGGTAGGGATGGAGGCTTGGGGGACCCTGGAGGCTGCGTGGCTGGGCCCTGGCCCCCCCTCACCTTGTGCAGACCGCGGCAGTCGAGCAGGGCCGTGAGCTGATGCAGGCTGGTCTCTGAGGTGTTGAGCAGCTGCTGGACCCCCAGCAGGTCTTTCTGTAGAGAACAGAAGGGTGAGAACAGATGGGAACAGGGGACCAAACCCCACTCCCTCCACCCCATACCTCAGCCATTGGGAAGAGAGGCAGGGCGAACTGGATCAAGCCCTGGGTCTGCATCTGCATGGTGGTGAGCGAGCGCTGGAAGACGGTGAGAGCCTGCAAGAGGCAGCGGGGGGGGGTCAGAGCTGGGTGGCCACCCCCCACCCCAAGGATCCAATCCCCCTGTACCTGCTGGAAGGGACTGCTCAGGCTCTGCTCACAGTACAGATAATAGTGAACAACCTCTGTGAAGTAAAACGGAGATGTCAGTGTGAGCACCACAGAGAGCAGCATAGGGAGAGTCAGAGCATGGAGCACGGCTCCCCTGAGCCCCCACCATCACGTTTTAGGGAGCACTAGGGCTCTCTACCTGCACTGATCTCGCTCTCTGTCTGGTTCATGATGAACTTATCCGGGGCCACACAGAAGTCACTGGTGCCCTGTGGGGATGAGACAGAGCACAGTGGGGTTGGGACGGCGCTCAGCAGCTCCACAGCCACGCCACAGCCCCCACTCACCACTGCTGCAGCCGTGTCCACAGCCATGGAGCACCAGCTGAGGATGAGGGTCAGGAGCCCACAGCACAGCATCCTGCAGGAAGAGGGATGAGCACGACAGGATGGCACCACGGGGACAGCCCCATCCTGGCCCCGGGTGGGCACTCACATGGTGAGGAGGCAGCGGGAGCGTTTGGCCAGCCCCAGGCAGGCCAGCAGGCAGACGGTGAGAACAAGGATAAAGAAGAGGAGGTAGGACAGCCACCTGGGTGCAGAGGAAGGCCTCCATCAGTGCATTCTCCCCAGCACCCCAGGGTGGGGAATGCTCAGAATTCTGTCCCATCTCACCGGTAGTACTCCACATAGGAGACGTTGGCAGCCAGAGCAGTCAGGTCGTCACTGACACCATGCCAGCTAGGCAGCCCTGAGAGCTGCAGCACGATGTTGCCTGACAGCTGCTGCAGGAACTTGAGGGTCTGCAGGTAGTCAGCCCGTGCTGCCAGCACTTCGGTCAGCTGCTCCAGGTGCTGCTCCAGGGCCACCTGCAGCTGCTGTATGGTGCTTGCCACCTGGGGACGAGGCACAGGGGGGATGAGGATGGCTCGAAAGGGGCTTGGGGTTCCCCTGCGGTGCAGACAGTGAGTGATGCCTGGCTCAGAACAAGGTTCAAGGTGTCCTGCTGCCCTCTCCAGCCTTGGCCACTTCATGAATGAGAGTTAGTGTGGAGAGGGGTGGGGAGGGTGGATAACCCTACCCTTTGGGCAGATATCTGCATCCCCAACTCAAGGGATGCGGCAGGGAAGGGCAGCTGAGGCACAGTGGGGACGGCCCGTCACGGATAACACAGCACAAAGGCCCCATTCTGCAGGGCTGACGTCAGCCTCCTGTGCTCAGCTCAGCCCGGCTGCCCCAGGGGGCTCAGCCCAGCCCCGTGGCATGGCTGGGGAGGGTCCCTTGCAGCCCCCCCCATGGGAACATCAGTCCCATTTCAGGAGGATTTTCAGTGCTTTCTGCACTTGGACACACTGGCTTTGCAAGGAAAAGCTGTGAGCGTGCAGCAGCAGAGCAGCACCCAGAGGCACAGGGGAGGGGGGTCTCACAGCCCTACCAGTGTGTCGATGCCAGTCAGGGTGTGGTTAGCATTGTCCAGGGCGTAGAGCAGCTGGTAAATCCCATCGTTGGTCTCACTGTTCCCATAGAAGCCGATACCAACAGCCGTGCTGGGGGCAGACAGAGGACCCGGGTTAAAGAAAGGGGAAATGCTCACCCCAAGGCCCCAAGGCAGAGCTTAGCTTTGGGGATGGGGACAGCACTGCAGTGGGGAACTGCTCTGATCTGGTGACTGTGGCTTGGGGACACCCAGGGATAGCACTGCAATGGGGATGCGCTCTGACTTGGTGATACCCAAGCCCAGAACTGCTCTATGGGCTGGGCACTGGATCCTGCCAGACCCAGAGAGATCAAGGCAAAGCAGATTAGGGGAATGAGCTGGAAAACACCCACTGCTGACAAGCAGCACAGTGGGCAAAGCAGCAGGGATGCGCCCGACCCCAGCACGTGCCTGTGGCCACACCAATAACAATGACAAACACCAACCCATCCGCTCCAATTTGGTCTCAGCCCAAGATCCCGCTGCATTCAAAGCCCTTGGGGGCTGCGAGCGCCACGTCCCTGTGCTCTGCCTTAGGATCGGGGAGAGATCATGGGACAGGTGCAGGGAGCTCAGCGGGGACATTTGCTGCGCAGCGCAGGCAGACAGTGAGCCTTTGTCTGCTGCGCGACGAAAGGGAACCGCGTGCTGCTCCCGGGGGCTCAAAGGGGGGGGGAACAAGAGAAGGGGTGGACAGGGCAAAGCGCTGCTGCCCCTCGCCTTATTGCTGCGGCCACAATTAATGGTGGTCACAATCCACAATTAAGGGCGGCCACAACGAAGCGTGGCTGCTCCGGGCTGCCAGCTGGGTCACAGCATTGCCTGCCATCTGCCACGGGCTGGGATTAGCGACTGCTGGGATTAGTGGGAGGGTGGTAAAGGGATGGGGATGAGACCCCGGGGCTGTCCTGGTGTGGTGCAGGCATGGAAGTGATGCGCAGCAGCGCGGGACACGGTGGCAGCACCCCTCACCAGCAGACAAGCCCGGCGGTGACAGCCATCCAGGTGACACAGCAGGAGCGGGGCCGCTTGGCGTCGGGCTCCTGGTCCCGCTTGCAGCAGCAGAAGCAGATCAGGTAGATGGTGAGAAAGAGGAGGTTGATGCCGAGACAGACGGTGGACACCAAGCCGAAGAAAAGCAGCGACTGCGGAGGGAAAGGGGACGCCGTGCGGCTCGCGGAGCGATTCGGAGAAGAGGCGCTGGGGGGTGCTGGGTGGCGGGGCTTCCCACGGGACGGTCACAAGGGGAAAGAGGAAGCGGCGTCCGTTCGCGTCCCCGTTCCCGCGGCGCAGGGTGGATGCGGAGCCGGGAAGGCATTGCCGTGTTCGGGCAGTGCCCGGGATGCTCAGCGCAGGGACCGCACAGCGCTCTATCGGGGGGGCTCGCACAGCGCTGCCCCGCGCCGGGATCCGCTGCAGTTGCGGTTCGGCGGTACCGGGAACCGGGGGTACCGGAGGTACCGGGATTAACGGCGGGGCACAAACGTGCCCTCCCCGAAAAGAAGAGCGCTTTGTGCCGGCAGCAGGAGGGGTGAAAGCGGTCACTGCAAGGAGCGGGTGCTTCTTTGTGTCCGTGCGCGAAACCCCCAACGCGGAGCGCACCCCCCAAAAGCCCGTTGCCGAATGAGCGTCGGGAGCGCGGGGGGATGGAGGACCCGAGCCCAGGGAAGGGGGGGCGCGAAGCGCAGCGCGGGGTCCGTACCTGCTGGTAGTCGGGGTCCTGCGGGTGGAAAGCGGCTGGCACGGGCTGCAGGCGCAAGCCGCGGTGGGGCAACCCGTGCAGCCAGGCCGCCCACCAGGGCGCCAGGTAATCGGCGCGGGCGGGCGGCATGGCGGGGCCGGGTCGGGCCGGGGCCGCTGATGGCGGGGGGCAACGCGCCGCCACGCCGCGCTCCGCCCACCGGGCCACGCCCCCTCCGAGTGGCCACGCCCATCTCAGAGACCACGCCCTCCTCCTGGCCACGCCCCCTCGGAAAACGCGGGCCGCGTGCTGCCCCGCGCCGTGCGGCTCTTTGCTCCCCGGCGTTTGGTCGAGACGCCTGGATCGCCCCGTCCGGCTGCAGGCTCAGCGCCCTGATGGAGATGCAGGTATCTCCGTTCTTTGTTGGAGGGTTGGAACAGGATAAAGGCCCCTTCCAGCTCAAAGGATTCCGTTCTCTCCTTGCGTTGAAGCACCGGGCCCTTCACCTTGCTGCTATAGCAGCACTGCACCCCCCGTGCTTCCCGATAAAAGGATCACTGAATCCTATCGCTTTGCTCCTTACATCAGGGCTGTACCCTAACGATACGAGGGTGCTGCATCCCGTCACCTCAGTGCCAGAGGCATCACCTCCCTCCATCTCCTGTAAGAGCGTTGCTGCCCCCATAAGCAAACTGTACCCTAATGGGGTGACAGGGGACACACCGCCACCCTCTTATAGGGCCGCTCACCAGGACTCTGTCACATGGGCTGAGCTTGAGCTCAGCATCAGCATTGAGGATGTTCCCACCCACCCCGGTCACCCCAGGGAGGCTCCTGCTGCAGCAGTGCCCCAAAACTGCTCCATCCCAGCTGCCCCAGCAAACAGCAGCTGAGGACACGCTGGGCATCCCTCATATCCACCATGCTTTGTACATCATCCTGCAGGGTTACGTTGACGAACACATCTACTTTCCACTCCATGCTGCCACCACAAATCCCTGGCAAAATACCATTCCCTGCCAAGGAGTTTTACTCTTTATGGCTCTCCTCTCAAGCATGTGTTATTAATACCCACGGCTCCAGGTACAGCAAGCTGCACCTAGATCAGAACAGGGTGAGAAAACAAAGTGACTGAGGATCATTTTGTCTATTGCAAAAATCTTCCAATAGAAAACTGTTTCCCTCTCCCCAGAGGCAGTGCACTGCAAAGGGCTGGGAGCCGGTCTGGAGCTGACCCTGAGCCCATGGGTGCATGGGTGCTCCCAGCACAGCTCACATTCATTGGGCCCCAGAAGACTTCAGGGAACATTGCATCAGGGAAGGTGATGGGGCACCACAGTAGCAGATAAACCAGCCACTCTCTGCCAGCCCAAGGAGCTCTGAGCTTTCCTGCAGCCCTGCTGGGAGACTCACCCCGAATTAATGCCAGCAAAAGCTACAGCTGAGCAGCCTTCTGCTCTGGCACGCAGTCTCACCGGGCAGCTGCCAGCTGGATGGGTGGAGGAGGCCCAACACCTAGGATGTGAAAGCAGAGCATGTGGCAGCGGACAGGACGCTCCATTCACACGCACAGAGCAACTGCCTCAGCCCCCTCGGGTGCCCCTCACTGCAAGCTCTGCTGGGGCACAGACTGAAACCAGCTCCTGAAGCACCAGGCTGTGAGCTGGCACACTGGGGTAGCTGGTCCAGGCTATGCGTGGCAGAAGCCATCCCTCCTAGAGCAGTCAGAGGAACACACGTGGCTTCAGCACGGTGCCGTTTGGAAAGGACAAGCCTGACGCCTGGAAACAGTTCCAATTTTTATTGTAATAAACGTGGAGAAATCTAGGTGCAAACAGTTCATTTCAGCTCCTTCACAGCCAAACCTAGGGAGGAGAAAAAGAGAAAAAAATGTTTGAAACGTGGCTCATCGCCCGATCTGTCTGGCCAGCAGAGCAGCATCTGCCCTTGTGCAGGAGACACGCAGCTGCAGCTTATTGCTGGCTTTGCAGAGGGCTGGGGCAGCTCCCCTTACCTGCCAGCACAGGCTGCAGCTGTGCAAAGAGCAGCCAGAGCCCCACAGCTCCCAGGCACTTATCAACACTCAGAAGTTTGAGCAGCATTCGCTCAGGCAACTCACAGACTGCACCTCCTGCCCCCCCTTCCATGCTGAGCTCAGCTGTGCTCCAGCACAAGAACCCAGACCCAGGCTGGCCCCTGGGAGGCCCCGCAGGTGATACCTGGAGGCAGGGACTGTTTCAGCTTCTCTGCCTTCTCCTTGTCTGTGATGACCAAGGTGTAAAGGTAGCGGCTGCAGCGCACCTTGAACTTCACATTGTCCTTGTTCTTCTTGATCTTGACGGCTGCAGGATTAAGGAAGTGGTTACTGGGACGGCAGCGACCCCACATGTTCCCTTTTATGAACCACGTCCATTTCCTGCGAAAGCACAAATCCTACATATCCCAAAGCAAGCGTGGAGACCTTTGTGTCTCATAGCAGGTATTTACAAGTAGCATCAGAAGTGTACAGCATCACAAACTCCCAACAGAGCACAGAAGTGCACAACAGACTTATTTCGTGTAATTCTCTGCATCTGAATAGAAGCCCTGACCCCTGCAATGAGTCTGCAGGCAGTTCTTCATCTCCTTTACAGCCAAGCAGGGTTGTTTTATCTAAGCAGCTTGCTCACAGCTGTGGTCAGTTGCTCTCCTTTCCCACTGCACAGCCCTGGCAGCTCAGTATAACAAGCTGTAGAGCTGCTGCCAAATCTAGAATGTGTTGAAAGGGACTGAAATGCTTTGTAAGCAGCTGTCAGCAAATATAACAGCGGTGCACACTGAACTTTCCCTCTCTCGCCCACACCGAGTTAACAAAACATTTCCAGAATTAAAGCACCTCATCCCCATGACAGCTACATCCACATACAGGAAAAAATAAAGGAAAACTCCTCACACGTTGTTGAATACTGAGACAAGACATTCCAGCTTTTCAATTATAATTGTCTTTGTGTTTGCAACAATAGAAAACTTGAGTTTAAGCGTGATTCACTTGTCAGGTGTCGCAGAGCTTTAACAGAACAACATCTTTTAGCTTGTCAAAGATTTACTAAGTCACAGACAGGCTAATATTTGCAAATAGCTTCCCACCAGTTGCAACCTGGGTTTGGCAAAAACACCCATGAGTGAACAGCAGCAGAAGAAACCCAAGTGAGTGAGCACCCAGCCCTGACCAGCTCATCCCTGGGACTGCACCTCCTCTCCTGCAGCTCCTCTGCAGCCAGGATAGCTTTGCTCAGCAAAACCTATTGCAAATGCCACTGGTGTTGCACGCAGACACAGCCTCAGCGCACTGAGTCCCTCAGCACTTCCACAGCATGGAGCTGCTCGGCCCAATGGGTGACACAGGCCTGCAGCTCCCCTCAGGGGGGGAACTGCTGAAGCACACCCTTACTCCTCCCCTAAAGCAGTTTCAGCACTCACACTTTGCATCCTTCCTCCTGGCTGTCAGCAGAAAGTCTTTGATCTCCTCAATCTTGCGAGGCTGATTGAAAGATGAAACACAGTCAGCATGGACAAGGACGAGAGCTGATACTCACCCTGTGTTCTGCCTTTGATACAGCCATTCAGCTGGGGCTCAGCCCAGACCCCCAAGTGCACCCCCAAAGACAGGAGCAGCTCTCTCCCCACCCTCCCCTCACCACGAAGGGAAAAACTCCTCACTCTGCACACAAACAGACCCAAAGAACAATGGAGGTTTCCCTACTGGACCCCACAGCCACAAGGAACCAGACAACCTCCACCCACGGACTGAGAGAAGCCCCACAACACGTCTGCGAGCCGCCATCCGCTCCCCCACGGGCCCCCTCCTCACCATGACTCCAGCCCGAACTCAGCTCGTTCCAACCTGCGGGAGGAACAGGCAAAGATGGCGTCAGCGCATCATCCTCACGGCCCCAACGGCCACCCCACGCCCGCCATCAGCCCCCCCCGACTCCCCACCGCTCGCCCTGCATCCCCCGAGCCCGCCCAGCCCCACACGGCCTCGGATGGCGGCGGATTCCACACGGCCCCACCCCGCGCTCACCGCTGCGGCTCTCGGCTACAGAGAGCGGAAAGGAGAGGACGCACTTCCGCTTCTGGGACGCCCCCTCAAGCCCCGCCCTTCGCAGCGCGCTACGGCGCGGGCGGAGGGACAAAAACCAGAGGGGAGAACGCGGAGCGGCGCTGCGCTGAGTTGTTGGGTGCTGCACCCCGCGGGCTCTGCGGATCTTGTTGGCGGCTGCTGCTACGTTGTGAACAGTAGGAATGCCGTGACCTCGCGATCGGTGCTTGCTGAAGGAGCTCCGGCCCTACGAATCCGCCCAGCTCCGTGGTTCCCAATCTGTAGCCCCGCGGCTCTCAGCCCTCGGCCCGCCCCAGGAGCTGAGTGCAATGCAGCCTCCTGGCCACAAGAGGGAGCCGTAGCCATGCGCAAAATCCTCCAAAGCGACCCAAATCCGCGCTCCTCCTCGGGGTCGGGCGGTCCGTCCCACCGCGCCCGGCGATTCGGGGCCGCTTCAGGCAGAGGCGGCGCTGCCCAGGGTCGGGAGGTGCCGCAAATTAACGGGAGAAGCAGCGGGTGCTGAGATCTCTCCGCTTGTGCGTGCACAGACGTGGCCGTGGGCTCCCCTGGGCGGACCGCGGTGGGTGTGAGCTCACACGAGCGTGCACAGCTGCGAGCGGTGGTGGGCTGTGCTCCCTCCCTGCCCCGCATCGTTAACCCCGCCCCACGCCATCGCCCGTTAACGGTGGACGAGGTGACCCCCTGTGCTGCGTCCTGCATGGGGGCACGTCGAGGGGCTGTGCGCGCTGGAGACGATGGCAGCTCCATTCTTCTGACAGCTGCAGGGATGCTGGCAGCGCCCCGCAGTGATGGGATGGGGTTACAAGGAAGAAGGAGGCGTTGGGAGATCGCAGCTCTGCCCAGAGGCAAAGTGGGGCAATTCCACCCCGCTCCCTACGCCTCTAAAAATGAGTTTTGTAATTGTTTGATTTACTTCTCTCATCCCGGATCGGCTGATCTACTCCGCTGCGTTTTAATTGCTCCGAAAGTTGAGCAGTTTTTCATGTTTTAAGGAGTGCTGAATTGTATAATTAAAACACTAACAACGTAAATCAACAGCGTGGAAGAAAGACAGCAGAGAATTAAGCGGCGGCGTGGCGGCATCATAAAACCAAAGCAGCATGGAAAGTGCCCCAT